TCGAGTGTGTCGCTTGGTAAAGTCCCTTTATGGTCTCAAACAATCCCCACGGGTTTGGTATCATGCTCTTGAGCAGGTACTTTTCAAGCATGGTTTCACAAGGTCCATGAGAGACAACGCTCTGTACTTCATGCACACGAGTGAGGGGGAGTACATTTGGCTCTTGGTATATGTCGATGACCTCCTCCTAGTCTTAGGTTCTCTTGATCTTCTCAACAAGGTGAAAGGTATTCTCACAAGTGCATTCACGATGACCGATCTTGGTGAGCCGAGTCATTATCTTGGTATGAACATTGTGAGAGATCGTAAGTCACGGTCCATCTTCTTATTCCAGCAAAGGTACATCCAAAAGGTCCTTGAGAGGTTTGGTCTTGATGATAGCAAGCCATCACCTACCCCACTTCCTTCCAACTTTGTCCCTTTGTCTTCACATCAGCCCTATGAAGAGAGAGAGTCAAGCCTTGATATCAAAGGTATTAAGGAGTTGTGTCTTGAGGAGAGTGAGCATCATGGTGAGAATTCACTTAAGGTATCCCCACAAGACCTAGCTCTCTACCAAAGTCAGGTTGGGTGTCTCATGTATGCAGCCCTATGCACAAGGCCCGACTTAGCATTCACGGTATCTAAGCTAGCTCAACACATGAGTGCCCCTTCACCTATTCATATGCATGCAGCCAAGCGAGCTCTTCGGTATCTCAAAGGTACTTCTAATCATGGTCTTCTCTTCCAAGCCAGCCCATATGCAAGCTCCCTCCAAGGCTTTACCGATGCAGATTGGGCGGGAGAATTGAGCACACGCAAGTCTACCGGCGGCTACATCTTCCTCATGTGTGGTGCCGCTGTTTCTTGGCAATCGCGCAAGCAAAGTTGTGTGGCACTTTCAACAACCGAAGCTGAGTACATGGCAATGACCGAAGGAGCAAGGGAGGCAATCTGGTTACGTGGACTCTTGGAGGACTTGAGGCAGCCGCAAACTCAACCAACTCCGCTCTACGTGGACAACACTTCAGCCATAGCTCTTTCCAAGAAACCGGTTCATCATGGGCGTACAAAACACATCGAGGTGCAGTACCACTTCATTCGTGAGCAACTAGAGAAGGGAGTTCTCGCCGTCAACTTTTGCCGTTCATTCGATCAAGCAGCAGATTTCATGACCAAGGTTCTTCCACATGATGCATTCAACATGTGCAAGGCAAGAGCAGGCTTCATGACACTTCATGAAGCAGTGGAGCAGTTTGAGGAGAATGAGGAGTGTGAGGGGAAGAGACGTGGGCAGCAGCATGAAGTGTATGCTAAGGAGATGTGAAAGGAGCATCAGCATGGGTGTATGTGTGCTTCGGGTCTGGTGCGAGGGGGAGTGTTGGAGAATCGAGTTTCTGCCGCCCCAGCCCTTTGCACACAAGCAGCAGCAAGGGGGAATGTCGGCGATGAATCAGAGGCTTCGGGAAGTACTTCGAAAGTTCCACCACCAATCAGATTTCAGCCGAAGACTCAATACAGTTCAAAGCTGCCTTCAAACCGAAGTGTTGGCAGTTTCTACAGGTTTCTACACATCAGAATCAGATATAACAGAAATATCCAGAGTTTTCTTATTCATGCACCTCATGTGGCACTCAAAGTCACTCAAGGTCCATCCAATCTAGATTGTGCCCAAGTTACCGGGGAAGTTACATTGTCTATCAGCCTAGTTTGAGCTTTCAATCTTTCTTGTTTGTGATGCCTATAGAGTCGTGCTTTAGTGGGCTTGTTAATCTTGAACATAGTGAAGTTTTACCTCATCTAGTCAATTCCAGCAGCCCTGCTAAGACTTTCCAGCCAAGTTTCTAGCCCTCCAGTAGTCACAGCTACTCTGTTTGTTCGTCGGCGACAGTGATAGCGAATTTCCTAGGGAGTAAGGACGTGGTGCAGATCGGGGCAATATGAGGCTGATTGCCTCGATCTACGCAACCCGCAATTTCCGAGAAGCCCCAGGGACTTTTTGGGGCAATCGGGGGCAATCTCTCGTTCGCTACGTATCGCTAGCGAGAATCACCACTTTCCCTGTTGGCGAAATGCCGCGAGCGCTGACGATTTGAGAGAAGCATCAGATTTCGCACCAGTCCCAGACTAGTTATTTTCGCTGCCTGATCATTCTTCACTAACGGACAACAGCATTACCGCAAGATTCATATTTCACCGAGGCAAACCACAACGGCAAAGCACCAAGGCAGCGCGCGTGTCGGTCGTGCCGCTCCGGCCGTACCACCACGTACGCGGCTCACTCGGTTTGAGTTCGCCGTCCTCTTAGACGGAGATTCGATTCTTATATCTTAGGCGCCGCCTGCAGATTAGCAAACCCTCTTATATTCGTTAATCGGCGCCTCGATAAATGCACGCCCATGGCGGACGACGAGGATCGCGTGCCGCTCAAGTCGCACGCGACCGGGGAGCTTCGTGGCCGTCGATTTCAGCCGTTCGATCGGCACGCTGTCGTGGAGCCGTTCGATGTCGCCCCTGTGACGCGGCGACTGAACTGGCGATTCGTAGCCGTCGCAGGGGCTCTGCTTCTTATCGTCATCTGGTGGCTATCATCACCTTATAGCGGGGACGGCTCCGCGTCGACGAATTCGATGGCCCTCTCAGGTTCGAATCCCGCCGAACCCTTTTCCTCTGCTCAATCCCCGCCGTCCGATTCTTTCCCCTCTTCCGCCACCGCTCCTTCCCCCGATACAGTCACAGTTCGTTCGGATACAGGCCCACACCCTGCCGCCGATGTAGTCACGTTCTCTGCGGATCCGAACTCAAGCTCGGCCGCTACAGCTGCCACCACACCTGCCGCTGCGCCTGCTGCTGCAGCATCTGCTACAGCCGCTGCTACAGCCGGTGCTGCATCTGCTCCGGAAGTATCAGCGGCAGCTGTAGCAGGAGCGCAACCACCATCGCCGCCTGGTTTCGCCGCGTCCGCAAATCCAGATTTGGCTGCTATGGCGCCAATCGCGGCAGCCACGTCAGCTCGTTCGCCCGCTCTTCGCGGGGATACTCCCGCCTCCGCGCCTGCCGCTTCTCCCCGTGCTGGTGTTTCGGAGAGTGCTACTAACGGTCGTGATTATAGCGAGTATGGAGCAGAGGGAATGTGGGGAGCAGAGGCGGAAGATAAGGGCTTGAATGAGGGTGACGAGTTGAAAAAGGGGTTTGGAAAATCGGAGAATGTAGAGGTAGAGGCTACACTGGAGGAATTGGAGCAGTCTTTAGCGGATCTCGAGGAGACTATTAACGAGGATAAGACGAAGAGCATAGGTCGCCTGGATGCAGCAGAAGCTGAGCTGGCGCAGCGCGAAAGTGACCTGTATTGGCGGCTGACTGATGCCGAAGCTCCCGCCGGGCCTAACGGTCCAGGCTCGGCAGGAGGTTCGGGTGGAACAGGTGGAAAGCTTTCAAATTCGGGACTTGCAGCTGCACCAGCTGCACCGGCAACAGCAGCACCAGCAGGAGCAGCAGGAGCACTAGCATCCCCACCGTCGTTCCCACCATCGGTGGCGGCAGCTGCCGCACCAGCAGCCGCAGGAGCAACAATAGGAGCAGCAGCACCATTAGCAGTGCCTGATACGCCAGCGAGCCATACAGGGGAGGACCCTCTCCTCTTTCCCCTCTCAGCAGCAGCACCACCATCAGCAGCACTCACTGCAGCAGCAGCATCAATAGAAGCAGCCGTGGCAGCAGGGGCGCCACTACCCCCTCCCACGCCCATCCCCTCTCTGCACTCCCTCTTGAAGGACGCGGATCTCAAGAGCCTCTCTGCTGCGCCTGGGGAGGGGGAGGACGTGGAGAAGGGAGGGGAGGGAGTGGGGGGAGCAGGTGGGAGTGGGAGGGGCGGTGGCGGTGGCGGTGGTGGTTTCTGGGGCTCATGGTGGGGCCATAGGCGCCTGGTTGCTGACGCTGTTGCCTCGTAGCAGGTAGCACCTTGTTTCACAACACCGGGGTGAATTTTGATTCAACTTGAGAGGAGGGGAAGGAGGGGAAGGAGGGGAGGGAGTGAGTGGGGGGAGTGGGTGGGAGTGGGAAGGGTGGGGGGAGCCTTTGGGGCTCGTGGTGGGGCCGCAGACGCTTGGCTGCTGCCCCCGCCGCCATTGCTGCTGCTGCTGCCGCCGCCGCCGCCGCCGCCGCCGCTGCCGCTGCTGCTGCTACCTCCCACCTTTTTAATTTCGATTGGTGTATTATTGACAACTTTGATGAAGGTGTACCTGCAACTGTCTCGTCTATTGATTCTATTTGATTGCTCGGGAGAGAGTTTTAGCCGTTGCACTCGGCGCAATGAAAGGCATTGACCTTAAGAGACAATGTTCGAGGTTGCTGCTGCTTCTGCTGCCGCCGCCTCTCCCGCAGCTGCTGGTGTTGTCGTTGATGCACTCTCACTTAAGGGCCACCGCGAATGAATGGGCACTGATGCACGCAATGGGCACTGATGCACGCAATGGGCACTGATGCACGCAATGGGCACTGATGCACGCAATGGGCACTGATGCACGCCAGCTGTAGCTTAGGCAGAGGGAAATAGGGGGCTTGGATCGACGGGGAGCCGCGTGGCCGGAGCAGCAGATGCAGATGTTGACGCAATCACAATCTCATACCTACTTCAGTGAGATTGCTTCAGCTCATTTTTAGATTCGAGATCTATTGTAGCTTAGATTAGGATAGTCACATCCAGAAGCAGAGTTGGATCCATCCAGATCTAGGTCTAATCTTGGATTCAGGGTGTAAATCTCAACTGCGAAATGTGCCAGCTCAGCTCGAGGAGCAGAGCCTCGTTTTAGGGCGCTTTAATCGTCGGAACGTGGCAGGGCAGCTGCTTGAGTTGAGACTCGCCACGGCCATAAGCAGGAGCGCCGTGGCTTCACGGACAGGTGCTTCCTTGTAGCTTCACGGACAGGTGCTTCCTTGTAGCTTCACGGACAGGTGCTTCCTTGTAGCTTCACGGACAGGTGCTTCCTTGTAGCTTCACGGACAGGTGCTTCCTTGTAGCTTCACGGACAGGTGCTTCCTTGTAGCTTCACGGACAGGTGCTTCCTTGTAGCTTCGTGTGAGCGAGGGATGGGAGGGGAAGGCGGATTGGGCAAAGTCAGTGAGAGCTGGAGGAGGGGGAGAGGGAGGGGGGAAGAGGGGGAAAAAGAAAGGATGAGGTGAAAGGTTTTGTTGAGGAGAGGAGTGTAGGTAGCAGGAGAGTAGGGCGGGTCTAAGGAGAGTGATGCAAGTGAGGAGGAGGAGGTTGGAAGGACAGTTGGCGGGAAGCATGCTGGGAAGGGGGTGAGGAGAAGCATGCTGGGAAGGGGGTGAGGAGAAGCATGCTGGGAAGGGGGTGAGGAGAAGCATGCTGGGAAGGGGGTGAGGAGAAGCATGCTGGGAAGGGGGTGAGGAGAAGCATGCTGGGAAGGGGGTGAGGAGAAGCATGCTGGGAAGGGGGTGAGGAGAAGCATGCTGGGAAGGGGGTGAGGAGAAGCATGCTGGGAAGGGGGAGAAGCATGCTGGGAAGGGGGTGAGGAGAAGCATGCTGGGAAGGGGGTGAGGAGAAGCATGCTGGGAAGGGGGTGAGGAGAAGCATGCTGGGAAGGGGGTGAGGAGAAGCATGCTGGGAAGGGGGTGAGGAGAAGCAGGTTGAGCGGCAAGAAGGCCGAATCTATCTTTCGTCAAGCAATCAGCAGATACCGGCTTCCCAGGTTACCATCTTCTTAAAATTACAGCCTACCCAGGTTACCGCCCTCCCAAAAATACAGCCTACCCAGGTCACCACCTCCCTGTCGCCACCTCCCATGTGACCACCTCCCATGTGACCACCTTCCCTTCCCAGGAAGCTGCATGCACCTGAACTGAAGCAGATGGCAAGCGGGACAGACTGCACATTTCAGAGGGAGATAGCTCAGAGAGGTAGCTCAGTGAACCTCAGGTTATTAAACTGAAGCTGAGAGAGATAGCTACATACCGCTACCATCCCTGGGCTCTTGGAAAGCTGCTTATCTGTCGAGTCGTCTCGCCCACCGAGCTGTCCTGGGCACCAAGTCGTTTCTCACAACAAAGCGTTTCAATCAACCAACAAGCCATCTCACGTTAATAGTTTCTTCTGGCGCTGCAAGTTCCGAACCTGACAGCCGCAAACCTGCTGTACCCCCCTTGCCCCCCTGACGAACCTCCTGCCCGAACGTGCAGGCTTGGGGATAAGCTCGGACGGGCAGTACGATTTCGGGGATTCGAGCTCGTGGGGGGCAGCTGGAGGGGAGGAGGTGAAGGGGGGAGTGGGAGGCAAGGGAAGGAAAAATGTTGGGGCAGCAGGGGGGGAAGGAAGAGGAGGAGGAGAGGAGAGAGAGGTTGAACAGAGGGAAAATGGGATGGGAGAGGGTGGGAGGCGTGGCGGTGGAGAGTGCAAGTTGTTTACCTTCTTTGATCCGAGTCAAGTTGCGGGGGATGTGGAGCAGGAGGCGAGGTGAGTGACTGTGTGAGTGAGTGAGTGACTGTATGGCGTGAGTGACTGTATGGTGTGAGTGACTGTATGGCGTGAGTGACTGTATGGCTTCTGAGGCGCATCCCTTTTTGTAGTGATTGTCTAGCCCCCCATCGTATGGCGAATCCCATTTTGTAGCCCCTTTTTTCTTTCTCGCTGGTTCCATTTGTTGCACCTCCTACACACTCATCCATTCCTCATTTCCCTTCCCCCCCCGCTCCAGCCTGCTGCACGTGTGGCAGCTGAGTTGGCTCAAGGCGGGGTGGGTCCCCGTGGTGCTGCGAGGGGAGGAGAGCATAAAAGAACACGGAGAATATAACGAGATGTTGACACGAGCAGTAGAGGGGGCGGGGGGATTGGCAATGAAGGTGAGGAGAGGGAGTGAGGGTAGGAAGGAGGGTGTTTGGGGAGGGGAGCGTGAAAGGGCATGGGCAATACAACGAGATGCTGACACGCGCAGTGGAGGGGGCGGGGGGGTTGGCAATGAAGGTGAGGGGGAAGTAGGGGGAAGGTGGAGGGGGAAAGGGGAGGGAAAGAGGAGGGGAGAAGGGGGGGAGAAAGGGGAGGGGGGGAAGAGGGGGTAGAGGGGGAAATGGGGGGGAAGGAGGGGTTAATGGGGGGGAAAGAGGGGGGAATGGGGGGGAAGGAGGGGGGAATGGGGGGGAAGGAGGGGGGAATTGGGGGAGAAGGAGGGGGGAATTGGGGGGGAAGGAGGGGGGAATTGGGGGGGTAATGGGGGGAGGGAGGGGAGTGTGAAGCTCAAGCCGGGGTCGGTGGCAGTGGTGTGGGGCTTAGTTGGAATTGACGGAGCCAGCGTTTTGACGCTACGTTTTTTACGCTGGACGGAACCCTCCGAGAGTTTGACGGTGGTTTTGACGCTCTGACGGGCAGGCGAAGAAAACCCTCCGGGCAGCCAGAAAAAACCAGCCATGACGGTTGGCTAAGCTCGACTTAAACGCATTATTTTAAGATCGCGCTCTATGCTAGCAACGGGAGAATGTTGCTGCTTGAAACCCTAGAATGAAGTCGAGTTAAAGCTCAAGGCCCAAATTGTTCAGGATTACTAAAGTTGACCCTTGGGTGGTGGGGGAGCTGAGTAGGAAAGTCGAGGTGTTGGAGGGGTGTAGGGGTTTGGTTTCGCCCAGCTTCTCGCCACACTCAAAACAAAATACGCTGACTCAGCAAAGCCTAGGGGACGCTCAGGTTTGGTTGCGCGAGTCCCATATTGCACAAATATTACTCGTGCCAGTTTCCCGCACCACCTGTTCCATTCGCTGACTCAAATGTTCTGGCCAATCAGATGGCTTCGTACATTTCGTAGCCACAATTCGCCCGGCTAAAGCTGCAAAGCAGGACTCGATCAACCTTACTAAACTTGCCTCGCGCGGCCCGCAATATGGGCCTTGAGCTTTAATTGGGGAGTGGGCTAAATGCGTGTGTTCTGGTTGGGTGATGTAGATGTAGTGAGGTGGAAAGGGCTGGCAGGGTTGGATTTTGTTGAAGTGCTTTTTCTGTGTTGTGTCTCGTCGAGTTAAATCTGGAGTCGCGATTTCGGCGAGGACTCCCGAATTGTGTTTTTTTGGCCGAATTTTATTTTCGATTTCAGGCTGCCCGAAAAAAAAATCAGGCACCGTCCAACGTTAAAACGCTGGACGCTTGCTTGTCCCAGCGTCAATTCCAACTAAGGTGTGGGGAGGGGGGAAGTAGGGGGTGGGGATGGAGGGTATCAAAGGGCATTTTGAATACCAGGCGGTAAGAGCAAAAAAATCCCCTGCCTGTTCCCATTTTTCCCCTTCCCTTTCCACGGTTCACAGCCCATCGTGACTCGCTGGCTAGCCGTGGCAGCAGCAGGCGGGGGACTGTTTGCTCACTACGATGTCATCAACTTCGGGGTACCTCCCCCTGCCAACTGCCTTATTGGACCGCTGTCCACTTATGGGGTGAGTGGGGTGGTTGTGTGGGAGGGAGCATTACAAGGGCAGCAGCAGCAGGCGGGGGTCTGTTTACCCACTATGATGTCACACGCTTCGGTGCTCCATCCCCTGCCAACTGCCTCATTGGACCGCTCTCTACCTTTAAGGAAGGTGGGGGGGGTGGGTGAGTGAGGTCAAATGCAGCAGCAATGGAAGGGGCTGTTTGCTCACTATGATGTCATACGCTTCGGTGCTTGACCCCCTGCCAACTGCCTCATTGGACCGCTCTCTACCTATGGGGTAAGTGGGGTGGGTGGGTGAGTGAGTGAGGTCAAATGCAGTAGCATACCTTTGGAGTCCGCCCTCCTGCCAACTGCCTTGTTGGCCGGCTCTCCATGTACCGGGTGCGTTGGGGAGGCGGAGCTGGAAGGGTAAACGGAGGGGGTATAAGGGCGGCAGAGTATAACGGGGCTGGAAGGGTATAAGGGCGGCAGAGTATAACGGGGCTGGAAGGGTATAAGGGCGGCAGAGTATAACGGGGCTGGAAGGGTATAAGGGCGGCAGAGAGGCACAAGGGCAGCAGCTGGGGGGGGCTCACTACGATGTCATCAACTTTGGCGTCCCCGCTCCTCCCCCCCGCAAATTGGTTTTGAGTCGACTCAAAAGCAGACTTTGGCGTCCCCGCTCCTCCCCCCCGCAAATTGGCTCGCTGGTTCGCTCTCTATGTAGGGGTGAGTGGGGCTGAGAGGTGCAAGGGTGCACGAGAGGGGAGACTGTAAGGGCAACAGGGAGGCACACGAGTAGCAGCAAGTGTGAGTACTATCTGCTCACTACAATATCATCAGCTATGATGCCTCTCCCTGTGCCAACTGCCTCAATAGACCGTTCTCTCTACCTATGGGGTGAGTGGGAAACGAAAGCTGCTTTCATGCTTTCATCAACTTTTGTGTCCCTCGCTGTCCCGCCTGCCCCTACCCTCCCCATTCCGCCCGCCCTCCCCATACCCCCTTCTCGAATCAAACTCTCTTCGTCTTCCTGCTCCTCGGCCAACCACACGACTGTGCTTGACTAGCCCAGCCAGGTTGCTTCCCGCTGCCTTTCCAGACAGAAACCTACTTACTTCCACCTCCATCTCTTCCTCCCCTCCTCCCCTCCCCCCTTCCAAAACCAGGATCTGTTCCCCTTCATGCTCTCCGGCCAGCCAGACGACTTTGCGCGCCTAGCCCAGGCGCGCCTACCACTGCCAATGCAGGCAGCCCATCCCGCCCCCAGTATCACGGGGGTGGTGTCGCCTCGCTTCCGTTTCCCCGCTGTCAGGGGCATTGTGCGCTGCTCCCCTGCTGCTCTGCCGCTCTTCCTTCAGCCTCCCATCCTCCAGGTGAGATACGAAGAACCACAACCCCCTGCTGCTGCCCTGCCCTTACAAGCAGCGCACTCTGCTGCCCTGCCCTTACAAGCAGCGCACTCTGCTGCCCTGCCCTTACAAGCAGCGCACTCTGCTGCCCTGCCCTTACAAGCAGCGCACTCTGCTGCCCTGCCCTTACAAGCAGCGCACTCTGCTGCCCTGCCCTTACAAGCAGCGCACTCTGCTGCCCTGCCCTTACAAGCAGCGCACTCTGCTGCCCTGCCCTTACAAGCAGCGCACTCTGCTGCCCTGCCCTTACAAGCAGCGCACTCTGCTGCCCTGCCCTTACAAGCAGCGCACTCTGCTGCCCTGCCCTTACAAGCAGCGCACTCTGCTGCCCTGCCCTTACAAGCAGCGCACTCTGCTGCCCTGCCCTTACAAGCAGCGCACTCTGCTGCCCTGCCCTTACAAGCAGCGCACTCTGCTGCCACGAGCATTTACTTCTTGTCTCATTCTCTGTCCCTGCACCATTGGCATGCCAACAATGAAAGGGTGGCAAGGGAAATACCGCTAACGGTGCACCATGACAACGAATCAGTGACTTGTGACAGCTGTCAAATGCTGGCTCCGATGCTGGGTTGTCATGTCATGACACTTAGTGGCCACCTGCACATCGCGGCAGTCAGATGACCGTTCACAACACCTTTATCAATTCTCTCCTTTCTTTCCACATGCTCATTTCTCCTCTCGCTCTCTCTCTCTTCTCTTCCCACCCACCCATGCTCTTCCCCCCTGCTTGCCATGCACTTTCCTGGCAGCTTCCCCCGTGGCGCCAGGTCTCTGCTCTCCTCTGCTCCCACTTCTCCCGAACCACAACCTTCCGAGCCTTCGCCATACCTCCCCTCGCCACCGTACCTGCCGCCTTAGCCTCCCTCCGCTCCTCCCTCTCCTCCTGCCCCAACTACACTCTCCCCTCCTTCCCCCTCCTCCTCCCCCCCCTCCCCTTCCAACCTCACCTTCCTCCTCCTCCCCCACCACATCTCCCTCGCTCTCGCAACCGACTATCTCTCTTACTCTGCCAACCCCCAAAACGCCCCTGCCTGGTTCAAGAACCTCTATCCCGGCATGCCCGTGCCAGCAGGCGTTTCAAACTTGGAATTTCTCCACGCCCTCACACACCACCTGCAGTCTCTTCCTGTGAATCAAGAGGATCTTACCACAGATAACCGGCTTTCCCGGGCTGTATCCCGGCTCCTAAACGTCCCCCTTACAGCAGCTCCGTTAGCAGTAGCAACACAGAAGCAGACTGTTGCTGTCGCACGATACGACATGGCAGGGGATGTGGTAACCGTGTTACAAGCAGCGCTGGGGTTCAGGATAGGCCGGGGTGAGGGAGAGGCGCTGGAGAATGCGGTGCGGGCGGGGTGGGAGGCAACGAGGCCGTTTGCCTCGCAGGTGCATGGAGAGGTGTTGGATACGATTCTGCGTCGCAACCACATGGACGTGCGATTGCTGCAGGCTGCTGGGGAGAGGGTGGAGGAAATGCTAGCTCGTGCAAAGTTGCTTGATGGATAGCTGCTGCTCTGTTCTGGTGCATGGGGAGGTGGGGAGGCGACAAGCGGAGGAGGGATGGGTTGGCTGATACGAACATGGGCGGACTGTACAGCTTGCAGGTGCATGGGGAGGTGTTGGATGCGATTGAGAGGCGTATCCAGGTGGAGGTGCGGCTGCTGCAGCCTGCTGGGGAGAGGGTGGAAGAAGCACTGGCTCGGGCCAAGCTGCTTGATGGGTAGTGAGAAGGGGGCATGCGAAGGAGGGAGGTGACGAGCAGAGGAGGGATGGGTTGGTTGATAGGAACATGGGCAGGCTGTACAGGCGGCCAGGCCGTTTGCCTCTCAGGTGCATGGGTAGGTGTTGGATGCGATTGAGAGGCGCAACCACATGGATGTGCGATTGCTGCAGGCTGCTGGGGAGAGGGTGGAGGGAGGAGGCGTGGGCCAAGTTGCTTGATGGATAGGTGCTGGGTCTGCTCTGATGGGAGAATTGGGAGGAGGGATACCGTTTGCTGATAACAGCAACAGCAAGCAGTATTGAGGCGACAAGACCATTGCTCCACGTCAGCTATGCGAGGAACAGGGTACAGGACAGGGTACAAGCAAGTGGCGGTGCAGGGGTGTGCGAGAGATTAAGGGGTGCAATCAGAGGTTTGGAAGGAGGGTGCTTATTGAGGCATGTACTGTACAGGCTTGTCATTAGTTCTGTACAGTGAAGCCGATTTTTCTCAGTTGAGTCTGCTGCACTGTACTAAATTGCCCTACTCCAGTGGCCTCTCTGTCACAACAATTCGTTTGCCATCTTCTCGTCTGGACTCTGCATACTGGAATGTTCTTGACATGACCGAGATGAGAAGCCAGCAAAAGCACCGTACAACACACCAACACATTATACCGGTAACTTCATCCACCGGTAACATATAACGAGCGTAGAGTCACGCATCCCCTTTGCGAGATGACGGCAAGCAGCAAATTTGTCAATGCCAATCCGCCCTTCTATCAGACCACTAAGTATGAGGTTTCATTAGCCCCGTAGTCTCATAAGGTACCAGTATCTGAAATGCCTCCTGGTTGTATATTCATAAGGTATCATTAAATGAAAAAGCACGCAGGGTATCTAAACAAGCAAGGTTCAGTTGGTGAAATTAACGAGGACAAGCGATGGCGTTGTGACCATCGCGGCACAATGCTGCTGGGACACAACTGTGACGTGCAAGCCACTTTTCTGCTGTGTCCAACCAAACTTGCAAGAGATGACGGCAAGCAGCAAATTTGTCAATGCCAATCCGCCCTTCTATCAGACCACTAAGTATGAGGTTTCATTAGCCCCGTAGTCTCATAAGGTACCAGTATCTGAAATGCCTCCTGGTTGTATATTCATAAGGTATCATTAAATGAAAAAGCACGCAGGGTATCTAAACAAGCAAGGTTCAGTTGGTGAAATTAACGAGGACAAGCGATGGCGTTGTGACCATCGCGGCACAATGCTGCTGGGACACAACTGTGACGTGCAAGCCACTTTTCTGCTGTGTCCAACCAAACTTGCAAGAGATCGCCTTCCTGGGATGTCTGCACACAAGGCGACAATGCGCTGTCCACAGTCCAACCACAATGTGCAGACATCCCAGGAAGGCGATCTCTCGCCATGTACTCCAGCAGCCATGACCTTTCTGTCCCCAGAATCGACCAGTCACGCAGACGCCACTTTCCGCGCTTGCCTTTTCCGCGATGTGCGTCGCGACGCGGAGGCCCAGCAGGGCGAGGGTCTCTATGCTGGAACTGGCTATAAATCAGCATCAACTCCTGAGTCTACCAGAAGTGGTCTTTGCGTTTCGTATTTTCAACGTTCTCAGTAATCCATCTATCAGGCTGCGTCGTATTACTTCATCAATTCGACTGATTGATCGCCAACTACACCTCTCGAAATCATGTCGTCCACTTCCCCCACAATGAGGAGCCTAGTACTAGTAATTGCTACTTTTTTCGCAGTCTTCGCACGCTGCGGCGTAGCAGCTTCCACCGAAAGTACCTACTACGACTGTTTTACGCCGTGCAAGAACCCTCAGAACGCGTCCAACGTCGTTACGGCCTGCGTCGAAGCATGCTCGGTATGTCACTCCAAGATCATGATTCAGATTCATCTTTAAAATGCCACGAGCCCGCTTCTGCAAGAAGTTCTTGTTTCACCTGCCAAATGGATCATCATCCAAGATCGCGGTTTACTCACCTACCCATTAGCTCCGTGGTGGAAAGCGGAGAAGCGGCTCGAATTGCTTACTGCTCTTTGCTCTCCGTTCAAAACAAAACTTCCGTGTTCCTTCTTGTGCCTCCCCCCTCCGCCTCCCCCCCGTTCTCCTCATGCATATGGACCGCATTGGACCTCGCCCCCCGTTCTCCTCATGCATATGGACCGCATTGGACCTCGATGAACATCATCGACCAATCACTAACACTGCATGGCATTGCGATTGGTTGTGGAACTCGCTCACTGCAGCTGTGCGTTGTGACAAGCAGTGGCTGCACTTTCAACTTCAAGCCCATTTGGGTTGATGCGACCAACACCACCACTGGTACCACTGGTGCGTCTCGCCAAAGCCCTGGTTTCTCTCAATCCTGGTTTCTCCAGCTGTTGTCGGTTAGGAACTGGTGATACTGGCTTGTGATTCCAAAGATTCACTTCCGGTGTGTTATCCGCTGTGGTGACCCGCTGCTTGCACCCAACTGCTTTGTGCGGCGTGCCATTTCAAAGAATAAAAGCACACTCACTTTGCGCTTGACATTCCCCTGTTCTTCTCCCGTCCACCTCCTGCATCTTACCAGGTCAAGTGTACCAGGAAGGCCAGTGCAGTAAGACATGCGGTCTTGCATGGTGGACCTGGCTGCTCATTGCCAGCTCCATTTTGTTGTTCGTTGTTTTCATTGCAATCATTATCTACCGCTGCTGCTGCAACACGGCCAATAAGGTTGCCAAAGCTGCCGACATTGAACAATCCTGACAGTGCCGTTTGGTGACACCATCTTCCTGATCACAGGATGCAAGCAAGTGCGTGCCTACCGTAGGCCAAAATTGATACCGTAAGTGCTCAGCTATAAGTGTTGATGAGTTGTAGATAATGTATGCAATGCTAGTGAAATGTTCTTGCTGCTGTTGGGGCATGAAATGCAGAACCTGAAAGCACAAGCTACCGTATAACACACGTCTGGCGTGAACCACGGAAAGACATACGGTAACACACTTGACACATGCGACATGTCTCAAATGTATTTATCCATTAGTTATTTAAAATTTGCAAGATCGATATGTAGCTCTCCAGTAGCATGGTACTGTATAGAACAATCTTATGTCGCACACTACCCGCGCTTTTTTCCGCTTGATACTATAGCATAGAAATATGGCAGGTTCTGCTGCTCTGCAGCAGTTGTTGTTCGGTGCTATGTATGAAACCGCACATAGTAGCAGCAGGCTGTACAGTGCTAACTGTAGTTACTTTATATATTTATAGTGCTGTTCACCATGCTGTATTATCATATTTGAATGGCAAGGTAGGGTACCTACCGGTATTGTATACTCATAATTTATACAGTAGGTGTAGTGGTAGTGTTCGGCACAGCAGGTCTGCTTCCACCCCTCCCTTCACCGGAGGATGATGCTTGTAATGCGTTTGCCTTGCCCTCCATAGTCACTGCTGATGACAATTGCTCTGTACTTGACGACGATGCCACTGACGATAACGAGGATGCTACTATCGAGGACGGCGAGGGCAGAGGCGAGTGGGTGAGTGTGTCAAGGTCAGCGCTGGAGGGCAGGTAGCTGGTCTCGAGCCCCACTGCGGACCCAAAGGTGGTGTAGCCCTTCTCTGCCCCTGAGATCTCCAGGAATGCACGCGCCATGCTGGAAAGGGGGAGCCAAGGGGGTGGTGAACGCACACGGCTTGAGCATGGCGAGAGCAAGGCAAGAAGAGAGCCATCAAGGACACGGAGGAGGAAGCACCAGAATGCGATTCACATGGATTGAGTCGAGGCTTCAGAGTGATGCAGAGTGATGCAATGCAAGGCCCACTGCCTTGCTGCTGGACCTGCGTCTCATCTCAACCACTTCACACATCTCTGCTCTCTTGCTTCTCCATGCCCACCATCTCTCTTGACAACAGCCTTGGCAACACATCACAAAACTCACTACCCCACCGAAAACCTTCCGACCGTTATGTTCCCCCTCATCTCACCCCTCGGCTGTGAGTGCCAACATCTGCTGCTCCATTGCCTGCCTCACATCACAAGCCTTACCACACACCGTAGCACAAGGCCAGACCAGAAACCTTTCCACCGCACTAAAATCCTGTCCGTCCCACCGTTATGCTCTCTCCCTTATCTCACCCCTCAGCTGTGAGTGCTCCGTTCTCCATTGCCCACCATTTGCTGCTGTAAAGCCTTTTGGCTCTTCAGCCTTATCACACCCTGGTGCCACACCTAAAACCTTACCACCACACCAAAAACCTTACTACCGTTCTGCCCTCCGTCATCTCACCCCTCAGCTGTGAGTGCCCGCTTCTCCATGGCCACCATCTGCTGCTGCATCGTCTGGCCTTTCTCCTGCAGGCAGGTATGGGCATGGCAACGGGGCAGAGAGGGGAGACATGGGGCACATGGCACATGACACGGGGCATACAGGCCATGGCAAATGGCACATGGCATACAAAGGTTGTCCAAAGGTTGTGGGTATATGCACTCACCACACGGACAGCACGAGACACACCACGAGCATCTCTATGACGCGCCTGTGAGTGTCCACCTGCTGCCTGCCTGTGATGCGAGGCACATGGTAGCGCATACATATATTGTACTCTCATTGCACACCAAGCAGCTGCTCGGTGTGCATGTACCACTCACCACGAGCATCTCAATGACGCGCTTGTGTGTGTCCACCTGCTGCCTGCCCGCTGCTATCATCTCCTCCTGCTCTGTCTTGTGTTTGTGGTTACATGGGACACAACATTCACTCACATACTGCTCACATGGTACACACAGCACCAGACTCACCACGAGCATCTCAATGGCACGCTTGTGTGTGTCCACCTGCTGCCTGCCATCATGCCATGACGTGTGGGTTTACATGGCACATGGCAAATGCTGCACACCATTCCCCACCAGACCACACTCACCACGAGCATCTCAATAACCCGCTTGTGTGTGTCCACCTGCTGCCTGTCCGTGATGTAGTGCAGTGTAAGGCACATGGTACCACATACATAGCGCATGGGTGGTATTCCCATGCTGCACTGCACACCACTCACCACGAGCATCTCAATGACGCGCTTGTGAGTGTCCACCTGCTGCCTGCGTGCCCATATGATGTGTGTGCTAATACTACATGAGGGACCCAACAAGACATTCTGCACCCTATCTACCCCCACCACCAGACCACACTCACCACGAGCATCTCAATTACACACTTGTGTGTGTCCACCTGCTGCCTGCCTGTACGTGTTTACATGGCACATGGCAAATGCTGCACACCATTCCCCACCCACCAGACTCACCACGAGCATCTCAATGACGCGCTTGTGAGTGTCCACCTGCTGCCTGCCCGCTGCGATCATCTCCTCCTGCTCCCTCTTCTCCCCCTCCAGACGACCAATGACCTGCACGCAGCAAGGAGGGGCATGCATTAGGCAAGCTGAGTCGACTAAGAACGTCAACGAAGGAGCAGCACGCAATAGATACACTGATTAATGAGTCGACGAAGAACGACAAAAGAGCACCCATTATTGAACAGGGCGTTATTGTCACCCAAAGTCAATGAGAGACAACGCATGTGTGTGACAAAATCACACGTGTGATTCAATGTGATTCAACATATACTGACACATTTAAGGGCGACGATAGAAATGAATGCACTTTGAACACAAGCATGTGACGGGCAAACAAAGTTCTGGAGAAAATAAAGAAGGGCATGAGGCATGTCCATGCTGTATCAACTTCGGAAATGACTCAAGTAAACACAAGCTAGGCCTTATTGCCCTTTCCTCTGATTCATTCACCCATTCACACAAACATACCCACCATCTTTAGCAGCCCCTCCACCCCTGACCTTTATAACAACCACTGGCGCACGCACGCACACACAGACACACACCCAGAGACACACACACACACACACACACACACACCCACACACACACACACACACACACACACACACACACACACACACACACACACAAAGACACAGACACAGACAGACACGCACGCACGCACGCACGCACGCACGCACACACACACAGAACCACACTCACCCGCTTGAGTCGCTCAATCTCCAGCTCCTTATCCTCCACCCTGTCGTGCAGCCCTTCCACGTCTCGCCTCATCTTCTCCTCCTTCCATGCCAGTGCTCTTAACAATGCATTCAGCTCCCTCTGCATCTCAATCTGACAACGGGAAGGATGGTTGTTGAGGAGGGGTGGAGGAGGGTTGGTCGGTGCAAGTCAACACAGTTCAACCCAGTCACCTAGGTCAACGCGAGCCAACGCAAGGGCCTTGCAAGGGGGGATTGAGACAGAGGGGATGGTTGTGGAGCTTGCAAGGGGAGGTGTGCATGAGGATGAATGCAAACTAACCCGTTACGACTCTACCATGCGGTCAGCTGCTTTGTGTCGCGGACACCATCGCCACACGCTCTCACACTCCCACACGCACTCGTACCCTTTCTGATATTTTTTTGAAATTGTATTGCGCGCAGACAAGACAAACGGGAGTGGAGTTGAGAGCACTTCATCAGAAGTGGCTGTGGCCGAACGCTCTGGCTGAAAGGAATAGCTTCTCCTTCAACTCTCTTGCCCGTCGCCCGTGACTGAGGCACGTCGCTGGCAATTCGTCGCCAGCCGTTCGGCGTGCGTCGTTGCTCGCTGCTCGCTCATTTGCTGTGCGTTGTTGCCTGCGGGTCGCGCAGTTGATATGGCCGAGGCCTGTCACTCGCCATCCGTCACTCGTTGTTCGTTGCTCGGACAGAGGGAAAAGGAGGCATGCAACAAAAATGAGCAAGCAAGCAGCAAACCTGCGAAGCGAAGTACGAAGAGGTGAGAGTTATTGAGAGCAAACGAGCTCATGGCAGCACGGCATGGGAGGTGTTGGGAGGAGCGTGGAAACCAAGGGTGTGAGGCGATGGCAGGCCAAGGCAGTTTGGCACCGAGCGAGCTTGCAAGGGTGGACTGGGGTACAGGGGGACACGGGCATGAGGTTATATGAATTCTAACCCCCTATAACTCTACATGCGCTCAGCTGCCTTGTGCCACGGCCCACCATCGCCACACGCCCTCACACTCCCACTCACACTCGTACCTCTTCCGAGGAATTTTGGATATAATACTGCGCGCGACAAAAATGAAACAAGACAAACGGTGAAGTTGAGAGCACTTCACCGGAAGTGGTTGTGGCTGAACGCTGTGGCCGAACGGCATTGCTTCTCCCATGACTCTCTCGTTTGTCGCCCGTTAATGGTCAGAGTTTAGGGTGACTAGTCACGGGCGACGGACAAGAGAGTCGGGGGAGAAGCTATGCCGTTCATCCACAGCGTTCAGCCATAGCCACTCCTGGTGAAGTGCTCTCAACTTCACTCCCGTTTGTCTTGTCTCGCTTCTGTCACGCGCAGTATTATTTCCAAAATTCCGCGGAAGAGGTTCGAGTGTGTGTGGGAATGTAAGGGCGTGTGGCGGTGGTGGGTCGTGGCACAAGGCAGCTGAGCGCATATAGAGTTGTAGGGGGTTAGAATGCATTCAACCTCATGCCCGCGCCCCCCTCTACCCCAATCTCCCCTTGCAAGCTTGATCACTGTCAAACAGCCTTGGCCTGCCATCGCCACACACCCTTCGCTTCCCACGCTCACTAGCACCTCAGCAAACCTCTCAGCAGCACCTTCAGCTCCCTCTGCATCTCAATATGCAAGAGTGGTATGGAAGGTTGTGAAAGTCAATCAGAGAGTCAAAGAAAATCAACCATTGCCCCTCCAGATCCCGCCTCATCTTCTCCTTCGATGCCAACGCCCTCAGCAGTGCAATACATGTAAATTAGCGTCAACTGAAGTCAATTGAAGCCCCTGCACCTCTCTCCTCATCTTCTCCTCCTTCCATGCCAATGCTCTCAACAGCGCGTTCAGCTCCCGCTGCATCTCAATCTATTGTTGATCAGTAGACATCAATGTAAGTCAATGGAAGCCAGCCAACGCCTTCAGCAGTGCGTTCCGCTCTGTCTACATCTCTCGATCTGACGACGTGGCGAAAGTCAGCGAGACTTACATAGCATTGAACTGACAGTCAAAGGCAAAAATGAGCGCACCTGCTTGTCCATCACAGTCTGGTCAAGCATGACTGCTGCCCACTGCTGCTTTAACACCTATGTCCGTTACAGCCTGCTCTTGTACTTGACATAAGGTGAATACTGGAAAGACACATAGAGTACATTCATTCATCCCACCTGCTTGTCCATGACCGCTTGCTCCAGCACCACTGCTGCCCGCTGCTGCTGCTGCGACAGCTCCCTCCGAAGCACCTCCACCTCGTTGGTCATTTGCTCCACCTGCCAGGGCAGTATGATTGAGAGGAGGACGAAGAAGATTTGATAAAACAGAGCAAACCTGAGAAAGACATTCGATAGAGGAGATTTGATGGAACAGATTCGTTACAGAAAATAAGATAGCACCTTCACTTCACTGTGCATGCATGTGAACTGCATGTGCGTCGCACCTTCACTGTGAGTTGCATGTGTGTGTCTCTCTGCGCCATCTCCACCATGGCTGTTTGCAGGGCCTCCACCCTGCCCATGCACACCAACACCCCCACACACACACCCACACACACATACGCACACGCACACACACACCTACACACACACACGCACACGCACACACACACACACACACACACCCACACACACACCCACACACACACACAGACACCCCCACACACACACCCACACACACACACACACACACACACACACACACACACACACACACACACACCGACACACGCACACACACATGCACGCCAACACACGCACACACGCACACACACATGCACGCCAACACACGCACACACGCACACACACACACGCACACAGTGGCAAGGTGAGGTAAATGGTGTGCAGAGTCACAAATACACACAGTGGCATGGTGGATGACATCATCCTTAGCTGGGTCAACTACCATCGGAAACATCCCCTGGAAGCAGAGTCGTACCGCAGTCGAGACTCGAGGTTACCCTTTACGATAACTCCTTACTGACGTGGCAATCATCAGGTTCACTTCAAGTAAGCCCTGCCATTACAGACCCTCAATGTCCTAAGTATGGTTGCTTGTGGTAGTGGCTTTTCCTTGTGAAGGCGAGCTGCTGAAACTTAACCATTTGTTAGCATTTGGGAAGTTCATGGATCAATTCTGAATGCTGCTAGTACCGTTTCTCACCATGAGCTTGTTTCTAATCACTGCTCTGCTGTGACTTGTGGTGGCTTTCCAGAGTAAACAGCAGCTTCTCAATTCATCTTTCCGTTAGAAGTCAATAGATCAATTCTCGCTGCTGTCAACAAGTGGCCATTCTTCTCACCGCTGCTGTGGTGGCTCTCCAGAATGAACGCCAGCTGTTCATACTCAACCATCTGTCACTCATACGAGAAGTCTAGGGATCGACTCTCACTGCTGTCAATTTCTAACAGCTGTGAGCTCACCGCGTCTGTGACTCGTGGTGGCTCTCCAGTGTGAGCACCAGCTGCTCCTTTAACCACGCCACCTGGCAGGAGGGATGGGATGGGATGGGATGGAGGGGAGGGAGGGGAGGGGATGGAGGGGAAGGGGGGGGAGGGAGGGAGAGGAGGGAATAGGAAAGGGAGGAGGGAAAGGAGGGAGAGGAAGGTGTTAGAATCCACCCTGGAAGAGAGAAATCTCTTAAAAATCTTACGCAGAGCAAACACACTTCATGCCCTGGAGCCAACCTGCCCTGGAGCCAACCTGCCCTGGAGCCAACCTGCCCTGGAGCCAACCTGCCCTGGAGCCAACCTGCCCTGGAGCCAACCTGCCCTGGAGCCAACCTGCCCTGGAGCCAACCTGCCCTGGAGCCAACCTGCCCTGGAGCCAACCTGCCCTGGAGCCAACCTGCCCTGGAGCCAACCTGCCCTGGAGCCAACCTGCCCTGGAGCCAACCTGCCCTGGAGCCCACCTGCCCTGGAGCCCACCTGCTATAGAACTTACTTGGAATTCACTTGTAACAAAAATATACCTGCCACGGTGCCCACACTAACCTGTGCTTGCAGATCCAGCATCGCTGTCATATCCCTCTTCAACCGCTCTGCACCATCCCCAACCTGCCCCTCCCCTTCCCCCACCAGCGCATCTACCCCTCCTGCAGCTGCATCAGCAGCAGCAGCAGCAGCAGGTGTTGCCCCTCCTCCCCCACCGAACAGAGACCCTGCCTGCCCCCATCCGGACCAGCGCCATGCAGCACCGGCTGATGGTACAGCTGCTGCTGCTGCTCCGCCTGCTCCTGCTTCCCCCCCTGCCACTCCTGGTTCCACCGCCGCTGCTGCACCTGCTCCCTCTCTGGAGCAACTCTCGTCACCAGCACCACCATCATCGCCAGTAGCACCAGCATCAGCAGAGGCACCGGTAGCACCGTTGGCAAGGAAAGGGATGGGGGGAGAGGCGGGGCTGCGGTTGAGAGCAGCAAGGTCGTGAGAGGAGGACGAGCGGCGGTGGTCAGGCCAGGGGGCGAGAGAGGCGGAGGAGAAGGAGAAGGAACCCGCTGCTCCTGCTAGCATCCCGGCTGGCATGCTTGCTGATCCACCACCCACTGCTAGCATGCTTGTTGAAGAGACTGAGGAGACGGTGGTGGTTGCCGGCCAACTCACATCAGGCCAGGAGGAACCATCCGTAGGCATATCCAGGCCACCATTCACCCTCCTATCCCTCGCCTCTCTCCCACCTTCCACCCCTGCTGCTTCCAACAACACAGCCACGGCCCGAGCCACCCGGTTCGGCAGCGACAGCTTCGGCGCCCCCCGGGGCTGCGTCCGCTCCTCCTCCATTTGCTTAGCTAAAAGCGCCACCATGTTCCTGGCGGCAGGGCTGCACCCTAAGTGCATGCCAAAGCGGTGCCAAACTGGCCTATGGAGAGATGACACGTGGAGCCTTGACAGGGAGGAGGACCGGGCGAGGGGAGGGCTGGGTGGGAGGGGAAACAGCCTTGCTCCAGGCTTGAATTGGACAGGTGGAGAGCGCTGATTGGCTGCTGGGCCTGCCTGGGAGTCCCCCTGAACAACCCCCTTCTGACGCCCCTGCGTGGGGAGAGGTGGTAGTTGACTGTTTCTACTGTTACCGCTCTTGCTATTACTAAGAAGACTGTTAGTAACGAGGCTGTCAGTTGAGGGTGGCAGGAGCAGCGACGGCGGATCCAGCAGGAGACCCGACCCAGAGGCAGCGACAGCAGAAGGGGAGGGGAGGATGGAGTCGTCAAGGGAGTTGGTGGTGACGGGGCGGCCGTCAGCAGTGGGGTGGAGGGACATGCGCTCGAAGATTGCAGCAGCCTCCGCTTTGAGGCGCTCTGACTTGCCGCTCTGGTAGCGCTGCAGCGCCACCTGCCTCTCCTCTAATCGACGCATTATGGCTGGCCGGTGCTTCTGCCTTAGAGTCTGGGGAGAGGGGGTGCGAGGGGGAGAGGGGGGCGGGGGAAGAAGACAGGGGAGGGGAGGTTAGAGCCTAATGCAGCAGCAGCAGTCAGCAGTGGGGTGGAGGGACATGCGCTCAAAGATAGCAGCAGCCTCCGCTTTGAGGCGCTCTGACTTGCCGCTCTGGTAGCGCTGCAGCGCCACCTGCCTCTCCTCCAGCCGCCTCATTATGGCCGGCCGGTGCTTCTGCCTCAGGGCCTGCCGCGGGGAGGAAACGAGAGGGGAGAGGGTGGAACGGATTATGAAAGCCCGTTGTTGTTGTGTGTGTGACTTGCCACTCAGGCAGTGCTGCAGTGCCACCTGCCTCTCCTCCACTCCAGCAGACACATGATGGCTGCCGGTGCTTCTGCCTCAGGGCCTGCCGCGGGGAAGGGGAAGGGGAAGGGGAAGGGGAAGGGGAAGGGTTGGAAGTCGGAAGATTGTTGCAACAGGTGGAGACGCCTCAAAAAGTGCGGGTTAATTGACGACTCTTGAGCAGCCTCAAAAGGCCTGACCCTGAGACCTCACTCACTCACTCACACTAGGTGGCTGTTGTGCTGAGTCGAGTCAAACGTCACCTCAGATGACATGACAATATCTCTGCCGGTCTGAAAACGAGGTGACTTTTGAGTCAACTCAAAAGTCACCTTGAGTCGACTCAAATGTCACCTTGAGTCGACTCAAATGTCACCTGGCGTCGACTCAGAAGTCACCTTGAGTCAACTCAAGTCACCTTGTCAAACGTCACCTCAGATGAATATGCGTTTCGAGTCGAGACTCGGAAGTTCACCTCAGGTCTCAAAGCAGTGTTTTGAGACGACTCAAAACACTTGTTTTAGCACGCGGAGGTTCCCCTCAAAGCACGCGGAGGTTCTCCTGATGTCTCAAAGCACCACGTCTTCCCCACCCACCTCCCAATACTGCGTCCGTTACCTCACCTCCATTACCTTACCTTACCTCCGTTGCCTTACCTCACCTGCGTCCGTCACCTCACCTCTAAAACATATTTTGAGTTTTGTCTAAAATTACTCCGACCGGTATGGTACGGTCCTCCTCCTGCACCCACCACGCACACGCACCCATGCACCGCACCGCACTGCACCCATCCTCACCTCCAATAACGCCTCGTCCACAGCCATGTACCCCACACACGCGTTCAGCACCAGCTGACTGGCATCAAAGGCCGACGCTGCCGAGTTCAGCAGGGTGGACATGAGCTCGCCCGTCTCAGTGATTTCCATCAGTAGGAAGGCTGTGCAGGGAGAAAAGGAGAGGGGGCAGGGAAGGGGGCAGGGAAGGGGGCAGGGAAGGGGGCAGGGAAGGGGGCAGGGAAGGGGGCAGGGAAGGGGGCAGGGAAGGGGGCAGGGAAGGATGAGTGGCATCAAAGGGGGCCGATGCTGCTATGCGCTGGAGGGTGGACATGTGCTCGCCTGTTTCAGTGGGCTCCATCAGTAGAAAGGCTGTGCAAGGGAGAGAGAGGTGAAGGGAAGTGGAGGGAGGGCAGAGAGTGAAGGGAGAGCGGATGAGGGTGGACATGTGCTCGCCCTGCTCACATGAGTCAGTCAGCTCCATCAGCAAAGAAAGCTCCAGCAGATGAGGAAGGAGGGGACGGAAGGACGGATATGGGAACATCGGAAGGGGGGGGGGGATATGGATCAGCAAGAGGTCGCCGCCAGCCAGTCTTGCTTCGCTCAAGCCTCGTTTTGGCCTCTTATATGCACGCGATGAGAGATAGGTCTGAAATTGCGTGTCTGTTGCAAGGGATGAACAAGTTGAGTGGAGGGGCATGGTTGAGCAAGATAACAAAAGAAGAGCATAAGCTTGACGAAGGGTGCCTTGCTGCACCATGCTGCTGCACCATGCTGCTTGAAGCGCAAATGCGATCCAAGTAAACAGCAATGAGGGGGAAGAGAGGCGAAGGGAAGGGAAGAATTGCTGAAGTGATCACTTCACTCACAGTGCTGCTCGAGAAGCGCGAGGCACGCCCGGAAGAGCATGCAGCGACTGCCCTCAAACAGCATCACGTCCCACACACGCAGCACTGCGAAGTTGGGGGGGGAGGGAGGGGGAGAAGAGAGTGAAGAGAGTGGGGTGCTTGTTTCTAATGCGTGCCCTCAAACAACATCACATCCCACACCAGGGATGAGCAAAAAAACGAACACCTGTTCGGTTCGCCTCGAACGTGTTCGCGGCAAACCGAACAGGTTTGTTTTTTTTGCTTAAAGTGTTCGCCAAACAGTGTTCGAGGTTCGCCCGAACACGTTCGTGTTCGGGCCGCTGCTGCAATTCGCCCCGCGACGAACACGAGCGTGTTCGAGGTTCGCCCGAACACGCCTTCACAGGCGAACAGTGTTCGGTTCGGCAAACGGATGTGTTCGTGTAGGGGCGAACACGTCGTGTTCGCCCCTTGCTCATCCCTATCCCACACGCACGGCACTGCGGGTGGGGGAGGGGATTTGGTGAAGAGTGGGGTTTATACATGTTCCTGTGTGCATCTCTAGTTCTTGCCCTCAAAACAGCATCACGTCCCACACGCGCACCACTGCGAGGGGACAGGGGGAGGGTGAAGAGAGAGGGTGGGGAGGGAGGATGTATGCTGCTGTGTGCCTGGTGTCTGCAACGGCATCACATCCCACAAAACACGCGGCGGAGAGAGAAGTGGGAAGGGGGGAAGGGTGAAGAGAGGGTGGAAAAGGTCGGTGCATATATATGTTGCATATCGTGTTGGGGATCTCAGGGAAAGGTTGGGTCGGTTGGGAGGCAGTGGCATGGGACGGCAGGATTTGGGGGGGAAGAAGGAACGGAAATGGACGGGAGCAAGGAAGGAGGTGAAGGGAGGGAAAAGGGGGTGGGGGATAGAGAGCAGTCAAGGAGTGTTGTTCGGAATCTACGTTTTGGGTTTATTGCTGTTGACACATTTGACATAGTTGGATGATAAGAAGATGTGCAAATGCATTTGGCGTATGCGTGGCACACACACACACAGCGGTGCTACAGCCTAGAGTGTTCTGAAAACACTATATGAATGCGCAGTACTGGATTCACATGCGAGAGTTGTCAGAAATGAAGGATCTAAAAAATCAACCATTCACTCAGTATTCCTAGGGAAAAAAACGACAAACAGAGGTTCAGTCTTGAGACATTTTAGAACAACTCGTCTCACCGCTTTCCCATGGAAACACGTTGATGAAGAGGGAGAGGAACCAGGGGCCTGTGATCCACGACAGCTGCACCCCCATGTTCTCAAAGTGCGTTGCTGGAGAGGAGAGGAGAGGAGAGGAGGTTGCGCGGCAATAAGGAGGATGGGAGGGAGGGAGAAAGAGAGGGAGAGGAACCAGGGGCCACTGATCCACAACAGCTGCACCCCCATGTTCTCAAAGTGCGTTGCTGCAGTGATGCAACAATGGAGAGGGTAGGAGAGTGAGGGAGAGGGATAGGAGAGTGACGCGGCAAAGGGAAGGGTAGGAGGGAAAGAGAGTGTGAGGAGGAACCAGGGGCCAGTGATCCATGATAGCTGCAACCCATGTTCCCAAAGTGCGTTGCTGGAGATGGTGCGACATTGATGGAGGATAGGGAGCGAAGAAATGGAGAGGGATGTAGCACAAAGGGGGATAGGCGCGTGAGGCAAAAATAGGAGATTGGAAGAGGGGGGGAGAGGGTGAGGAACCAACCAGGGGCCAATGTGGTCCATGGCAGTTGCTATCTCAAAACGGGTCGCTCGAAGAAAGATGTTCATGAAGCAAAGCGGAGAACATGGGTTTGAAATAGGGTTTGTGCACACCCATTCTTTTCCTAATGCACGAGACCAAGCCAGGCATGGAGAAAGGAACATGAGAAGCCAGTCTCACCAAGTCGAGGGAAGTTTTGCCTCACGAGGTCTTCAAACACCAGCTGGTCCACCTGTTGGGTTGGGCGCGGGCGAAGGAGAGAGAGACAAGTTACAAGAGTTCCAAGCATGAAACGCAAAGCACACTCGCTCACGCATGCACGCGAACGAGCGTAAGCACCCATACAAACAGGACGAATACAAACACACAATGAATCTGTCTGGCGTTGCCATCCCACCTGAACCAAATCGTTTGAGCTGGATGGGGACAAGTTACAAGAGTTCAATGGTTCAATGGTTCAATGGTTCAATGGTTCACATCACACAGATAGCTCACATTGAGCCCTAGTCAGGCGCCTCAAGGTCTCAACACCTGCTGACTCCGCATGACACAATCAACTCTAACAGCCTCACCTGGGCCTCACCTGGGCCTCACCTGAGCTTCACCTAACCTCACCTAAGCTTCGATCATGCTATGGGGGAGTAGACGGTAGTGGCCCCTTGGAGAATTGTCCGCGACTGCTGTCAGGGTCCTTTTGAGATTACATCAAAGGCACCTAATCTGATTGGCACCTGAACCTCACCTGAACCTCACCTGAGTCTCACCTGAGCTTCGATCATGTTGTGAGAGTAGTAGCCCTTCAAATAGTCATCCACAATCCCTGTCAGGGTCCTGATGAATCATGATGCGTGGGCGGCAGCAGAGCCATGCATGATATGATATGATAGGATAGCAAAGCAACTAGTCGTCAGCATAACAGGGGGGTAAAAGGAATGCTTGACTTTGACTGACACGATAATTGAGGTGCCTCAGAATTTGTCGGCAAAACAGAAAGGGGATAAAGATTATGCCTTTGAGGCATCACAACTCCAACACTCGCCAACGATTTTTTCTGCCGGTTTTGCTTAGGCCAGGTTGGGTCGGGTCGGGTCCGGTCGGCCCTCAATCTTGCCCGACATGACCGGCTAAAAAGGGGCCGGGTCGGGTCTACCCAGTGGCGAATCTCTTGACCCGAGAGTCGGGTCGGCTCAGGTCGGACTGGTTATACCTGGTCTGATCGAGCTCACAACCAGACCCAGCCGAAACCCAGGGTTGGATGGATGGACCCGACCCGACCTGACCCAGTGCTCAGGCCGCCTAGTGTAGTCCTCTCCCATGTAGTTTCGTTAAAGCTTGATATCGAATCATCACAAAACAGGCGCATTCACTCGCTGTCAAATCAGAAGCCTGTTCCAAACTTGTTCAAAGCCAGGCAATACAGGGTTGTGCATATGACGAGGCATTTACAGGGAACTGCTCAATGCTCATACAACATCGTCCACTCCCTCTCAATGCTCATACAACATCGTCCACTCCCTCTCAATGCTCATACAACATCGTCCACTCCCTCTCAATGCTCATACAACATCGTCCACTCCCTCTCAATGCTCATACAACATCGTCCACTCCCTCTCAATGCTCATACAACATCGTCCACTCCCTCTCAATGCTCATACAACATCGTCCACTCCCTCTCAATGCTCATACAACATCGTCCACTCCCTCTCAATGCTCATACAACATCGTCCACTCCCTCTCAATGCTCATACAACATCGTCCACTCCCTCTCAATGCTCATACAACATCGTCCACTCCCTCTCAATGCTCATACAACATCGTCCACTCCCTCTCAATGCTCATACAACATCGTCCACTCCCTCTCAATGCTCATACAACATCGTCCACTCCCTCTCAATGCTCATACAACATCGTCCACTCCCTCTCAATGCTCATACAACATCGTCCACTCCCTCTCAATGCTCATACAGCATCGTCCACTCCCTCTCACCAGAATGCGTTTTCTTCTGGCATGAGCAGAAGCAGCAGCCCTCCGAGGAAGTTCATGCCCTGTGGTGTGTTCATGTGGGGGGGAGGAAGGAGATGTTACCACCACCAAGTTATTGTTTACCCAGAATACCCTACCAGGTTACAAGTGTACTATGTAACTAGCTCACAGGGATACTGATTCAATGAAACTTTAGGATACCAGAAACTAGGTTACAATTCAACCAAGTTGCCATGACTGTGACATGCACACACGGAGCGCACACAGGGCACACCCACATCCACACCTCAGAACCATCCTCCTTACCCTCTACTACACACCCACTAACACTCCCCACCGAAACGACACCCCAACACCCACTCACACACACACGCACCAGTCAGCACCCCACGTCCTTGTTCTTCCGCGCATACGCCGTCAGCAGGCGGCAACACACCCACACCCACCTTTCAGTACCCCTTCTGACACCTCTCGACCCACACGCACCTGGCAGTACCCCACGTCCTTGTTCTTCCGCGCATACGCTGTCAGCAGGCGGCGCAGCGAGTCTCGCCCAATGGAGTCCAGCGCTGGATGGCCGGGGAAGGTGCGAGGAAGGTCCTGGTGGAGGGGGAAGAGAGGATGGTGGAACGGAGGTCGGGAAGGGATCGAAGGGGGGAAATGAAACTGGTTGATGATATCTATCTTGGGGCCATGCAGCAAGTCTCGCCCTAAAGAGTCCAGAGCTGGGTGCCCGGGGAAGGTGCGAGGACGGTCCTGGTGGAGAGCGGGGATGGAGGAATGCAGGTTGGGTCGGGAGGGAGACGGGGGAAAGGATCTCTTGAGGGGGCAAAGCAAGAGACGTGCACGTGCACCCAGTGCAAAAACGTAACCTTTTTCTTTCTTTCGGAAAGCAGCCACCCCATCAATCCCTCCTTACGTTCACCATCTGCTGCTGCACAGCCCATGAGATGAGATGTGCACGTCCCGTCCTTTCTGACAACCCTCCATACTTCAACCTTATACATCCTCCCGGTCCCGGTGCACAGGCCCCGCTCCCGGCACACAGGCCTCCGGTCCCGGTGCACAGGGCGTCCTCCCAGTGTCCCAGTGAGACTCGTCCCCCGAGTGCCCTTCAACCGCAAACCACCCCCAGCTTCCCAATCCGCATGCACCGCACTGCAGGTGTATTATATCTGGTAATGGCAAACATCGGCACGGCAATGCGCACAAGCATACCAACCCTTCCCCTCCCCTCCACCTCCTCCCTCACCTTCTCGATCTGCACGGCCCACGAGTAGCCACGTGATAGAAGTAGTGATTTGAGACGTCTCAAACAAAACAAATCTGCACGGCCCACGAGCTGGGCACGGCGCCGACGCGAGCGAGTGTAGATGATCATGTCAGCGAGGGAGCTGTTGGGGCACATGTCATCCTCCCCTCCCTCACGTGCCCTCCAACCCGAAACCAGCCCTTGCTTCTCAATCCACGGCCCACCAGTTGAGAATTTCTTGTGCGCGTGCTGGTCGCTCACGTGCGCAACAAGTATACACCCCCCTCTCCCCCAATTTTCCCCCTCCCTCACCTTTTCAATCTGCACGGCCCACGAGTTGTGCACGTCTTTGGCACGAATGCGGGCGTAGATGTCAGCGAGGGTGCTGTTGGGGCACAGGTCGTCCTCTCGGTGTGCCTCCTCCAGCAATGCATCATACAGCCCTGCTCGCCTCCTCGCCTTGGTGCCCACAAATATCTGCCACACCTGTTCTTTGCAATCAGAGGGATACACGGGAATTGATGGGCATTCACAGGGATTCACAGGGGTTCAGAGGGGTTGACGGGGAATCATGGGCATCCTGCACCAGAGCGAGGAGCACGAAGCGAGGGTGCTGTTGGGGCACAGGTCGTCCTCCCGGTGTGCCTCCTCCAGCAATGCATCATACAGCCTGGCTCGCCTCCTCGCCTTGGTACCCACGAATATCTGCCACACCTGCAGGCAAAGTCGCATTCACAGATTCACGGGGGTTGACAGGGGTTCACAGGGGTTCACAGGGGTTCACAGGGGTTGACAGCGATCATGCCTGCACCCACCTCACCCATCTAGCCCACTCTCACCCACTCGTCTCTCCTGTCCGGATGCTCGCCTCGCCCTTCAGCCCACCCACTCACCTCACCTCACCTCACCTCACCTCACCTCTCAGGTTCATGGGTACGCCAATCACGAGAGAGTGCAGCTGCCTTGATCATGCCTACCTGGCTGAAGCTACACCTGCCTCTCCCATCAACCCCATCCTCCCATCAACCCCATCCTCCCATCAACCCCATCCTCCCATCAACCCCATCCTCCCATCAACCCCATCCTCCCATCAACCCCATCCTCCCGTCAACCCCATCCTCCCATCAACCCCATCCTCCCGTCAACCCCATCCTCCCATCAACCCCATCCTCCCATCAACCCCATCCTCCCATCAACCCCATCCTCCCATCAACCCCATCCTCCCATCAACCCCATCCTCCCATCAACCCCATCCTCCCATCAACCCCATCCTCCCATCAACCCCATCCTCCCATCAACCCCATCCTCCCGTCAACCCCATCCTCCGTCCTTCTTTCTCACTCACCTCGCCTCGCAGGTTCATGGGTACGCCCCCACCTCGCCATCAGCGAGTGCAGCTCTCGCCCCGAGTGTGATCACGGCTCCCTCCCCCATGTGCGAGTGTACATGGCTCAAGGGACACCCCTCCCTCACCCCTCTTGTCCACGCACTCACCTCGCCTCGCAGGTGCAGGGGCACACCTTTGAGAATTCTCAAAAGTGGCGCAGGTGCAGGGGCACGCCGCCCATCAGCAGCGAGTGCAGCTGCCATGAACATGCCTACATGACTGGAGCTGCACCCGCCTCTTGTTGGAAGAGAGAATATGAAATTACAACACCTCTCGCCTCAAAACCATCCTCCCGTCCGTCCTCTCACTCACCACTCTACTGTCCCGTCCACACTCTCACCTCGCCACGCAGGTTCATGGGCACGCCGCCCATCACCAGGGAGTGCAGCTCTCGCCCCCACGGCACCCTCCCAAGCATCGGAAACCCCGCTGTGTTGAACGCCTGCCGCATCGCACTCCCCTTCCCTTCGGCCTCTCCCCCGCCCCCCTCTGCATCTCTCCCATCCCCCGTCGCATCTCCCACACCCCCTTCCGCCTCTCTCCCATTCCCCTCTGCATCTCCTTGCTGCTTCCCCCCCACCGTTTCATCTCCTTCCTTCTCACTGCCACTCCTCTCCGTGCCTTCCTGCTTTTCCTGCTGGCCCCTCCCCTCCCCCTCCGCAACTTCCCCCTTCCCCTTCTCCTCCCCTCCATCAACCTTCCCCTCTCCCCCTTTCTCTCCCCCGTCGCCCTCTGTTACTCGCACGTCCTTTGCTCCCACCCTCCCTTCCTCTCCTCCCCCTCCCCCACCCCCCTGTGCCTCCCTCGCAGCTCTGAGTGTCTTATTCGCCACGGCTTCAAGAGCAGCAGCCGCCTCTGCTGCTTCTCTCTGTGCGTCCACCCCCGCTCCCTCCACCCCTCCTGCCCCCCCCTGTGCCTCCCTCGCAGCTTTCAGCGTCTTATTAGCCACGGCTTCGAGAGCAGCAGCGGCCTCTGCTGCTTCTTTCTGCGCCTCCACAGCAGCGGCCGTGGCAGCAGGAGACAAAACACTCGCCAGCTTTGATAGCTTGGCAGGTTTGGATGGGCTACTTGGCTCTTTCTGTTGCCCTCCTGCTGCTGCTACTTCTGCTGCTGCTGCTGCTGCTGCTGCTGCTCCATCTGCTTTTGGTTGCGCTGCAGTAGGTCCTTTCTCCTCTTTCTCCCCTTCCGGATCTAACTTGTCTCCTGACTTGTCTCCTGACTTGCTTCCTGACTTGTCTCCTGACTTATCCACAGAGGGGCTTCCGGAGGAGCTATCCTTTGCAAATGAAGCTGTGGTTTTGTTGTTTTCCTCTCTCTCCTTCCCATCCCCTGTTTTTCTTGCTTCCTTTGGTTTTTTCTGCTCTTCCTCCTCTTCTTCCTCCTCCTCTTCCTCTTCCTCCTCCTCTTCCTCTTCCTCTTCCTGCTCTTCTTCTTCCTCCTCCTCTTCCTCCTCCTCCTCCTCCTCCTCCTCCTCCTCCTCCTCCTCCTCCTCCTCCTCCTCCTCCTCCTCCTCCTCCTCCTCTTCTTCTTCCTCCTCCTCAACCTCCTCCTCTGTCTCCACCTCCTCGTATTCTTCTTCCTCCTCCTCTTCCTCTTCTTCTTCCTCTTCCTCCTCTTCCTCCTCTTCCTCTTCCTCTTCTTCCTCCTCTTCCTCCTCTTCCTCCTCCTCCTCCTCTTCCTCCTCTTCTTCCTCCTCCTCCTCCTCCTCTTCCTCCTCTGCTTTCGGTTTTGAACCCTTACCCTTAACCTCAACCTTGGTTTCTCCCTCCACTCCACTCGCCACCTTCGCCCCGCCCTCACCACCACCACCACCGTCCACAGATGTCTTCTTTCCCCCACCCTCCTCACCATCTTGCAAATTCTTCTCTTCAGCCGCCTTCAGACCCTCTTTCCCTTCGTCTCCAGCCTTCCCATCTGCTGCTCCTGTACTGGAAACAGCCTTGCCTCCCCCCTCTTTGCCTCCCCCCTCTTTGCCTCCACTCTCTGTCTCCTTCAAAGCATTCTCCTTACCAACGTCCTCCTTACAAGAAGCCTCCTTATAAGCCACAGCATTGTGGGTTTCTCCTTTTCCTTCTGTAGCGCCATTGCCTCCCTCCGCCTCTCCCTTATCTACACCGCTCTGTACCGCACTAGAGACCATACCAGAACTCTGTGCCTCCTCAGACCCTTCCTTTGCTTGATCATCAACCCGTCCCTCATTTCCTGGCCCCCCCCCGCCCTCACTCTCCCTATCACTCTCTCTCCCACTCACACTCTCACTTCCACTCACAGTTATGCTCACACTTCCCGCATCTCCTTCCACACCTGCTTTCTCTCCATGACTATCCACAACCGCTACAGCACCACCAGCACCAGAACCAGCAGCATTATCACCCCTACTCAAACCCTCACCGACCGCACTCCCCTCCTTCCCGCCCCCTTCCCCTCCTCTCCTCCTCCACAGCTTTCTCCCTTTAAGCACTTTCTCTATAATCACCAGCTCCTCCCGAAACTGCTCTCTGAACCTCGCATCTCCCCCGGACCCCCTTCTAAGCACAGGGTCTACAGTCAACTCCACGCCTGCCAGCCTCACTTCCTGGAAGTTTCCAGGGGTGGTGGGGGCCGAAGCTGGACTGTCTAACGGCCAATCTCCTCCCCCTGCCCTTCCCCCTTCTCCTTCTCCATCTCCCCCTTCTCTTCCTATTCCGTCTCTTCCTCCTCCTACCCCTCCTTCTGCGGCTCCGTCTGTCCTTCCTTCTCCCTCTCCTCCTTCTCCTCCTTCTCCCTCCACCCTCTCTCCTTCTCCCCTCCCCGCATGGGAGGCAGAAACAGACGTGTCTCCTGCTGCCTCTGCTGCTGCTGCTGTTCGGATGGAAGAGGAAGGTTCGTGGAAGGAGAGGTCGCAGTGCTGCAAGAACTTGTCCCATCGGTCTGACCGCTCCTCCTCTTCCACCTGGAAGGGGCGTCGTGGGGTGTGGTGTGGGGTGGGGTAAGGCGGGGTGGGGTTGGGTGGGGTGGGGTGGGGATTGGGCTCAGTGGGGATTAGGGCGGGTTGGGGATTGGCAGTTGAAGGCATGGCCTTCAAAACTGAAGCTTGTCCCATCGGTCTGACCGCTCCTCCTCCTGGAAGGGGCATGGTGGGGTGGTTGGGGGGCGGTGTGGGGTGGGGTGAGTTGCAGTGGGGTTGGATGAGGTAGGTAGGGTGAGGTGGGTGGGTGGGTGGGATGCATGATTGGGTTGTTTGTATGTGTTGGGTGCGTTGGGTGTATTCAGTGTCGGAGCAGGTTGAAAACGCACTGCCGCCCAAGTGAGCAGAATCCCATCGAAACGCATTTGGTAAATGCGATGCGAGAGTGCATCAAGTGTAGATCTCCGTGTGCTGGCTCAGAAACGTGTTCTCCTGGTGCAGCGGAGCGGGTTAGGCCTCCCAAGTGAGCAGAGCCCCCTCACAACGCACAACGCACCTGGAGCGTAACACCAGAGTCCCCTCACAACGCACCTAGTAGTTCCGAGCGTGCGTCTTGTAGATGCCCGCGTACTGGCTCTGAAGCGTAAGACGCGTTGCCTACCAAGTGAGTTAAAGCCGCTCACAACGCAACGCACCTGGTAGATGCGCGCGTACGTCTTGTAGATGTCCGTGTACTGGCTCTAGGGTGTGTTGAGTGCACTGGGGCAAGGCAAGTGGGAGCGTCAGGGGCACACCTGGTAGATGCGAGCATACGTCTTGTAAATGTCCGTGTATTGGCTCTGGAGTGTGAAGCCATACATGTCCCTGCAGGTCCGCACAGTGAGACACACGTGGACACGTGGATGAGTGGACATGGGGACACGTGAACAAGGAGAGGGACACGTGGACAGGTGAACAAGGGGACACGTGGACGAGTGGGAAAGACAGAAGGCGGAAGGCGGAAGGGGCAAGTTGGAAGACGGAGACTCAAAGGATGAAAGGTGAAAGCAGGCGAAGCGCAAGGCTGTCGCGAATGTTCGCCAAGACTGCTGACTTGGAATTAGAGGCTTCAGCGTTCGGCACAAGCGCTACTTTAAGTCGGTCTGTAACTCGGTTACCCGGCTAGAATCGGCATGTAACCCAGTTACCAGGCTACAGAAGCCCGCCTCCTGCACCCTTCGCCTAGCGTGGGGACGGAAGAGAGACGGAAAGGCGACGACAGCGCGCACGCCTTACCGTCCAGACCCTACTCGTTTACCCAAACCATTCTGAGACGATTCGAATCCTTATTGGACGATTTCCAGGCGACTGAAAAACCTGGTCGGGCCATTTTAGGGCACCGACCGACTTGACTGGTCTTATGGAACCGTCTTCAGGCATCGCGACGCGCATTCCCGGGAGTCTCGACGGCACGAGAGTGAGTCTAAGACGCGTGCATTACGGTGAAGAGACAACGACGCGCGGATTACCGCATGGCGTCCGCCTTTGACGCGGCGCTAGGCGAAGACGGCCCATCGGAGCTGGTTTTCGGCACGCTCCGGATTTTCAGCTTCCCGCGCGCCGTGGATGTCGCCATGAATTATCAAGTGTAGATGTGGACAGATTCCCTGAAAATCAAAAAGAGGTTGTTGTAATTTTATTCTAGCCATACATACAGCCCCAGTAGCACAGTGGTAGTGCGTTCGCTTCGTAAGCGAAAGGTCCAGAGTTCAATCCTCTGCTGAGGCAATCCTGATTTTATGCATTTACTGATGCAACTAGCTAAACGTGAGCACCTATAGCACACACCGCCAACTTACACCTTGCCAGCAAACTGGTGTGTCCTACTAGCGCGTGCCCCGCCAGCCAGCAGAGCGCTAGCAGCGAGCCCCACCAGCCAACCCCAACATTCTTCGGCAAGGGAACAACCACGAGCATAGGGGGAGGATACGCCAACAGATTGATGGAAGCCCGAGATATGTCTCTTCGGGCAAGTGATGAAAGTCGCTCTCCAACCCTCCTGCCCCTACTTAATACAACTCCGCCTCGCAGGAGGAGAAGGCGATAGCCGAGGAGCAGGTGGAGCGCCAGCAGATAAGGCCGCTGCCAAGAGAGAAGTCAGCCCTGAGAGGAGCGATGATCCGGCCGTGAATCAGCCCACGAGTAGTCACTGTAGCCGTTAAGGAGAGGTAGGGAGGGCCCGCCAAGGGTAAGGACATAGTCCTTGGTGCCACGAAGGTACCGGAAGACACGCTTGGCGACCTGCCAGTGCTCTTCCGTATGCTTGCATGCGCCAACAAAATGAGCGAGGACGCTGATGGGATAGGCAAGGTCAGGGCGAGTGGAGACCATGGCGTACATGAGGGAGCCGATGAGCTCAGGATAAAAATGGGAGGAGGTTGAGGGGGGGGTGGGTGGCGAGAGGTGGTGTCCGACAGAAAGAGGAGTATGTTGGGTACTGCCCCGGGCCATGTTAAACTTCTCCAACACCTGCTGCAAGTAGTGACCCTGGGAGAGAGAGATGGTGCGGGTGGAGCGGTCGCGGGTTATGGTCATGCTTAGGTAATGCTGCAGCTCTCCCAAGTCCTTGCACTTGAGACGGCTACCCAACCCAGCCTTAACACGCTCCAACTCAGCAAGGTCGGCGATTCGCAGAATCATGTCATCGACATACACAAGGATGTAGAAGGGCGAGGGGAGGCGCGGAGGAAGAGGCTGGCGTCGGATCGGGAGGTGCGAAACCCAAGTTCAGCAACGGTGGCGGCAAGCTTAGCATGCCATTCCCTAGGGGTCTGTCGGAGCCCATACACAGCTCAACACAACTACCAGATAGAGTTTGCTGGGAAGGGAAGGTGAAAGCCGGCTGGACACTCTGTGTAGATTATATCTTGCGGAGGACGCCTTCCAGAAAGGCGTTAAAAATGTCCATCGAGTGGATCTCCATATTGAGGCGAGCAGCGAGGTCGAGGACGACGCGAACGGTAGCAGGTTTGGCGGTAGGGGAGAAGGTATCGAATGAGTCAACAACATACTGTTGCATGAAGCCTTTGGCACAATAACGAGCCTTGTAGACAGGCGGCTCCCTTGGCAGCTGCTTATTGCGAAACACCCACCTCCCCTTCACCACGTTCGTAGAGGCGGGAGGGCGAGGCACATCAACGAAGGAGTTGGGGATAAAGGCCTCTAGCTCCTTGATGATGGCAGCAAGCCACAGAGGGGCGTCGGGGCAAGACATTGCCTCCTCATACGTGGTAGGGATGAAAGGAGGGAGCAGAGGAGAAGGCGAAGACGGGTGTGCTGGAGAGGTCGAATGTGATTAGTAGAAGCGAGGGGTTGCAGAGGTGGAGGTCAAGGAACTTCTTATGGGAGTCCTTAGAGAGGGAGGTGCGGGAAGGCGGGGATGGCTGCTGGTGCTGCTGCTGGTGCCGCTGCTTGTGCCGCTGCTGGTGCCACTGCTGGTGCCGCTGCTGGTGCCACTGCTCGTGCCGCTGCTGGTGCTGCTACTGGTGCCACTGCTGGTGCCGCTGCTGGTCCTGCTGCTGGTCCTGCTGCTGGTGCTGCTGCTGGTCCTGCTACTTGTGCCACTGGTGGTCCTGCAGCTGGTGCCGCTGCTGGTGCCGTTGCGGACACTGCTTCTGGCGCTGCTGCGGACGCTGCTGCTGGCGCCGCTGCTGGTGAGGGAGAGGTGGCAGAGACGGCTGTTGCAGGAGGAGGTTGATGCAAAACAGCCTGGAAGAAGTGGTGAAGGAGAGGGCAAAGAGAGGGGAGGGTAGAGGTAGAGAGGTTAACAGGGGGCGGTGCACCAAGGATACTGTCACGTAACCTGGTATGGGGGTACCTGGTAAGTACGGTGCGGGGAGGGAGGGAAGGACGAGTCGGCGGCAAGGGAGGTGAAGGGGGGGAGAGGGGGGGGGGGGGGGGGGGGGGAGAGAGGGGCAATAGGAGAGGAATCTGTGGGGGAGACGGGAGAGGACAGAGGTTCCCGGTCAAATATATCACCAGACGAGGGAGGGGCACCATGGGACGGGGACGTCGATGGGGGGGAGGGAGGGAGGATGGGGGGGGAGAAAGTAGTGGGGGAAGGGTGGTGCGAGACCAGACAAGGGGACGGGTGAGAAGGGGGAGTGGGTCAGTGGATGGGGGATAGTAATAGTAGGGAGTGAACTCATGAAAGACCACATCCCTACTGCGGAATAGACGACCTGAGGGGGGATGGAGGAAAAGGTAGTCAGGTGAGCAGGAGTTATGGCCAAGAAAGATGCAAGGAAGGGTACGAGGGGCAAGCTTTTCCAAGAGATTTGGAGCGGTCACAGGGGTGAAGAAGGACGCATGCCTTTGAGCCCCAGACACGAAGAGATGAGACATCAGGCTTGTCCTTCGTCCACAACTCAGTGGGGGTGGTGAATGGGAGAAGAGGGTGAGGGTAAAGGTTAGTAAGGAGGGCGGCATGAAGGAGGGCGTAGCCCCATAGAGATAGAGGGCAGGAGGCATGGACAAGAAGACACCGGTCAGTTTTGGTGATCTCCCGAACATGACTTTCAGCCACACCGTTCTGCTGTGGGGAGTGAGGGAGGGTGTAAGTCTGAAGGATGCCATGAGACTGACAATAGGAGGATACTTGGTTTTTAAGAAACTCACCACCACCATCAGAGTGAAGGCGGCAAATAGGGTGCCCAAAATGGGTGTTTGCCCGCCTCGAGCCAGGAAATAATTGCAGCCGGGGCATCCGCCTTCATCCGAAGGAGAGAGACTGACGAGTACCGACTGTGATCATCGACGAGTACGAGGAGGTAGCGATGGCCCTGGCGAGTGGGAGAGGGGTTGGGGCCCCAAAGGTCCATGTGAACAAGATCAAGTGGCTGGGCAGCAGCGGAGGGGGAGCTCCGGTGCGGCTGCTGCTTGAGCTTGCTCTGAACGCAGACGGTGCAGGGGGGGGCAGGGGATTTGGGGAGGGGAGGGAGGGAGGAAGGGAGACCGTGGAGGAGGCCGGAGGAAACGGAGGAGAGCAGAGTAGCCAAGTTAGGGTGACCTAGCCTATGATGGAGGAGGACGGCAGGGTGGGAGAGGGAGCGGCTGGAGCAGGAGGAGTCAGGGGGGGGCGTGAAGGGAGGTCCGGGTTAGTAGGAGGGAGAGGAGGGGGTGGAATGAGAGGGTGGGGGGGGGGGGGGGGGGGAAGTCGAGAGATGACCTAACAGGAGGGGAGGCGAGGAACCCGAAGGGTGTACAGACGGGAGCGAGGACAAAAGGGAATGCGAGAAAGGAGCTGACCGGTGGCGTAATGGTAGAGCGCGCAATAGTTAGCATGACCTGGGAAGACTGTGGTGATACCAGATTGCTGCAGGGACCTTTGGAAGAGGAGATTACCGCAAACAGAGGGTATGTGGAGACCGACGACAGTGCCTGAGGGGAAGAGTGGACAGGGGAGAGTCGAGGTGTTATGGCAGGGGATAGAGAAGCTGCTGTCGACTCCAAGGAGGGAGGTAGGCGTTGGGAGGGGGCGCAAGGTGCTAGCATCGCGGACAACTGTGTCAGTGGCGCCGCTGTCGAGGACAAAATCGACAGTGGAGAGGAGGGAGGAGGAAGGGACAGAGGAATGGAACGCAATTTCGTTAGTGCTAGAGAAGTATGTGACAGATGCAGCTGATGTGGCTTGATTGAGCATACCAACAATACTAGCGGATGAGAAAGAGGGGACATTGCTTGAAGTTGCGGAGCTTGTGGAACAACCTGGAACCAAGTTCTACTTGGAAGTTGGGGGAGGAGGAGGAAGGGGCAGTTGCGCTTGTAGGTCAAGGTGCCGATGCAGGCGGTGAAGCATCTGCTGAAGCTGGAGGAGGAGGTGCCAGAGGTGCTGCTGTTGCTGTCGCTGCTACTGCTGGTGCTGCTGCTGTTGCTGCTGCTGCTGCTGCTGCTGCTTCTGCTGTCGCTGCTGCTACTGCTGCCGCTGCTGCTGCTGCTGCTGCTGCTGAGGAGGAGAGAAGAGTTGACTGGGGGCATGGTGGGCTTGGGTGGAGAGTTTGCACTGATGTCCCCGAGTCGGGCCGTAGCGAGGCGCGTATTGACGAGGAGGGAAGGGCGCTGCTACGCCGGAGCCTGTGCTCAAACCCCTAATACCACCATATCCAGCGAGTCTCCCTTGACCACCACCACAGCTACCACTATGCCCTCCTCCATGCCCACCGGTACCATTGCTGCTGAATGCCAGGACGATTATTGCCATGGAGGAAGCAATGTGGGGTGTGGGCAGTCACGGCATGGTGTGGGTGGTTAGGGCAGGGCGCGGGCGAGCAGGGCATGAAGGGGCTGAAGGTGCTGCAGGTTTGCTACGCCACCCTCTTAATGTGCAAGGCAGATGTGCGATATGTGCAAGAAATTGGCGGTATGCAGAAGTAAGTGTGTGGGGAGTACGGGTAAGTGTGCGGTATGCGCAGGCAGTTGGCGGTATGCGCAGCCAGGTGTGCGGGGTGCAAGGGTAAATGTGCGGTATGAGCCAGTAGGTGTGCGGGAAGCACGGGCAGGGTGCGGTATGCGCAGGTAGGTATGCGGTATGCGCAAGCAGGTGTGCGGTATGCGTGTGCAGGTGTGTTGTGTGCCAGGGAGGTTGGTAGGGGGCGGAGGAGGGGAGGGGGGACAACGAGCGGGGAAGGAGAGCGTGCGAAAAGTGCGCGGGCGACCAGGGCGCGGACGAGCAGGGCGGACGAGTAGGGTGTGCAGACGGGCAGGGCGCGGACGCAAAGGGCGAACGAGCAGGGCGCGCGGACGGGCAGGGCACGGACGACCAGGGCGCACGGACGGGCAGGGCGCGCGAGCGGGCTAGCAAGGGTGTGCGAGTTGCAGATATGAGCTGTCGGAGTTACTACCTTCTTCCTTCCTCACCTCATCCCTAAGCCGGTCTCTCCCTTGTTCCTCTCACCCTTCTTCCTCATGTTCCTTCCCTGCTTGTCCGCAGGCCCTAAGTGCTTCTGTCTCAGCCACTACCTAACCCCTCCTGTGCTCGTGCTCGAGCTGCTCGGGCCCGAGTCACAGGATATCCAGCTGAGGACGGCGGCTCTGTACTACTGCCATGTGGGTCTGCTCCCCCTGTTTCCTCTCTAGCCCCAGCGATCCCAAACCCCTCAGATTCTTCGCCTTCCCTCTCTGCATGCCCGGTGCCATCTCGAGAGTATCCCTCTTCTTCTTTCACAGGCAGACTTCTTGTTCCCCTTCCACCGCTGCCTTCATCCTTTTTGTCGCCCTGCTGCATCTGCTGCACGTACCTGTGTGCATCTCTGAACTGCGCTGTATGTAAGTTCTTCAGGCTTGCCGGCAACATCTCAATCAGGTACCTTGCCCTGGCATCTGCCAGTGTCCTGCCCTTCTCATCCCCTCCCATTCCTGCTGTCCCTGTCATGATTGTAACTTCTCTCCCCTGCTCGCTCACTGCCTCTCCCCCCGCCCACTTGACTTCTTCCTTTGCTGGCCACCCTGCCCCTGCCCCCACTGTCTCATCCTCCACTTTTGCTTCCGCTGCTGCTGCTTCGCATACTTGTGCCTCCACCTCTTCCTTCCCTTCTGCATCTGCAACTGCTGGTTTGCACGCCTGTGCCCCCACCTTCTCTGCCTTCCTTTCCGCTTCCGCTACTGCTGGCATGCACGCCTGTGCCCCCACCTTCTCTTCTTTCTCTTCCAATTCCATTGCTGCTGCTTCGCATACCCATGCCTCCACCTCTTCCTTCCCTTCCGCTTCTGCTACTTCTGGTTTGCACGCCTGTGCCCCCACCTTCTCTGCCTTCCTTTCCGCTTCCGCTACTGCTGGCATGCACGCCTATGCCCCCACCTTCCCTTCCTTCCCTTCCGCTTTCGTTGCCACTGGTATACCCGCCCACTCCCCCATCTTCTTGTTCTTCCCTTCTGCTTCCGCCGCTGCTAGTACACACGGTCCTGCCCCCACCTGCTCGTCTCGTACCTCCGCTACCACTGCTGCTGGTGTTACTGACATACACGCCCATGCCCTCACCTTCTCATCCTTCTCTTCCATCTCTGCCACTGCCCTTGCCCTCACCTTCGTGGCTCGCTCCCTTCCTCCGTCCCTGCCCCCACTGCGCAGCCCCACGACTTCACTGCTACGCAGCACCGCACAGGAATATTCTTGCTCCTGCTCCCTTTCCTCCTCCTCTTCTTCCTCCCTTGCATACAACCCCGTCTGCCTCTCTGTTCTTCCTCTCAGCGCCCGCCCTTTCCTTCCGTCTCTGCCCCCACTGCGCAGACCCAGTTCCTCACGGCCATGTAACGCCAGGAATGTGTGCTCTGGCTCCTGCCCCTCCTCCTCTTCTGCTCCTTCTTCCCTCTCGTACAACCCAGCATCTTTCTCCTTCCTTCCTCCCAGGGCCTGCAACTGCGCCCGCAACTTCCTTATCTGGCTCTCGATCTCCTCTGGTGACCTTTTCGTTCCGCCTGTCCCTTTATCGCATCCCCTCGCCTCATGCCCCCTTTCTCCGCACTCCTTACATGTTGGTGCCTCCGGGCAGTCTCTTCGGCGGTGCCGAGGCTTCCCACATACATCGCAGTTCCTGCAGTGCATCCTTATGTGCCCCGGCTGCCCACTGCGGTAACAGGTGCGTGTCTCTGTCCTTTTCTCCGGCCTGCTCTCTTCTCTTGTTCCCTCCCCTGGTATCATCGCCACTGCCCAGGTAGGACTCTTCTTCTCTATCGTCCTCGGCAGGTATACCTCATACTTCCTCTGCGCCAGCTCCACCCTCTCTGCTAACTCGAACACCTCCTCAAGCGTTGCATCTGCTCCTATCTCATAGACTCTCATTCTCAACCCTCCTGCCAATCCCTTGTCTAAACCGTTCAGAAACTTGCTAATGAGCATGCTGCTGTCCGTGCACACCACGTCTTCCGCCAGGTTCATCAACCATCCGTAGTATGTCAGCAGTGACTCCTCATCCCTCCGCCTAAACTCTTGGAATTCCCTGATGCGCGCCGTCGTATGCCCAGGGAACTGCTTCCTTAGTCGCTCCAGGAACAGTACCGCCGGGTCCTCGTCATCCTCTTTTGCCCTCCTCAGCCATTCACCAATCGTTATACGATACAAAGTCTCTGCTTCCCCTCCCAACGTGCTTGGCAGGCTCAGGAAAAACTCAATCGAGTCCATCCCGCTTCTGTCACATCGGTATTTAACATTGCTGATCTGCATCAAATATTTTTTCAGACTTGGGCCGGTTTTCTCGTTTCCCGTGAAGCATACTAGCACCTCCATTCGCGGCTGTGCTGTTGCACCCCACTTCCCTGTTTCCCAGCTCTCTGTCCCTCCTCGCTCAGACATCATAACCCCTCTCCTTCTTTCCTTTTCTCCCCTGCTGCCCGTGCTGGTTCCGTTCAGCACTCGCTCTATTCCTTCCCTAGCTGCTCTTGCTCCAGCAGATCCTACGCCGTGACACTCCGGCCTCCTCGGGCCCATCGAGCTAGGGCTCCTCCCTCTCGCATCTTCTCGCTCCCCCCAGCGCCTCTCTGCATCTTCCCAACGCTTCTCTCTCCTTGCAGGGAGCAAAGCAGCTGAGCCCTTCTGGCTCTCCTCCTCCCCTCGCTCCCTTGACAAGGGCTCAGCTGCTTTGCTCCTGCTGTGCCTCGCTTCACCACCACGCGGTCCCTTGGGCGAGTGATCTGCCGCCATGTTCCCGTGGCGTTTCGCGGCACTTCCGCACATCTCCTCTGGCGCACAATCTGCATCCGCGATTTGCCCCTGGCGCCTCACGTCACTTTCGCGCATCTCCTCTGGCACACGATCCGCATCCGCGATTTGCCCCTGGCGCCTCGCGTCACTTCCGCGCATCTCCTCTGGCGCACGATCTGCATCCGCGATTTGCCCCTAGCGCCTCGCGTCACTTCCGCGCATCTCCTCTGGCGCACGATCTGCATCCGCGATTCACCCCTGGCGCCCCGCGTCACTCCCGCGCATCTCCTCTGGCGCACGAACTGCATCCGCGATATGCCCCTGGCGCCTCGCGTCACTTCCGCGCATCTCCTCTGGCGCACGATCTGCATCCGCGTCCTTGTTCTCGTCGTCGCGCTCTTCTTCCGCGACCCCTTCCTTCTCCTCCTCGCCGTCGGCCTCGCTTGCCGAATCCGACGAGTCCGCCACGCCCGCATAGTCGCGATGCCTTTCACCCGCTCCTTGCTGGCCGCCTGCCAGATTCCAAGGATTGCTGCAGGATGGTCTAGGCCTGGGCTCCGTCCGCACGTGTAGATCGGCCTCGCCTCCTTCCTGTCGTCCTCCCACGGTTGTCACCAGATCCGCGCGGTACGCCGTCCACCGTGGCGAACGCGTCCGCGATCTCCCACGCTCTAGTAAGCGCATCCTCGGCGACGGCGACAATTCCCGCCGCGAGTTCATCTGTTGCCAGCGCAGCTCGTGGCAGTCCATGCTGCCGTGTCTTCTCTCGTTTTGTGAGAGATTTCTGCTCCCACGCGATGGCTGCCCACAGTAGCTTTACCTACCTAGCTAGAGTTAGCTTGAAACGGTAGTTTAGATCCACTATACGAGAGATTAGGTTCGAGTGGCTAGGCTAGGCTACTTCATTCCCACTCTAGGTCTTGGCTATTTTTCACAGCCTTGAGTTGGGTTCAAGTCGCCTTGTGCCCTTATTGGTCGCTGCAGATTTCCTGTTCCTCGAGGCGCTTGGTACTCCTCCCAATGTCCCCAATTCCCCCTTGCCACCAACTTCTTGCTGCTCTCAATAACCCAACTACCCCAGATGCAGATTGAATAACCTTTGCTACACCACTTCTACACCCAAATAGCACATGTCTCCAATATGATGCACTTACCAGGTGACAGAGCACGCGGAATGCAAATTTGTGCGTGAGAGGAGTAGATCTGGGCGCGGGAAGAGTAGATCTGGGCGCGGGAAGAGTAGATCTGAGTGCTGGGAGGAATAGATCTGGGCGCTAGGAGGGCAGATCTGGGCGCAGGGAGGGCAGATCTGGGCGCTGGGAGGGCAGATCTGGGAAATGGGAGGGCAGATCTGGGCGCTGGGAGGGCAGATCTGGGCGCTGGGAGGGCAGATCTGGGCGCTGGGAGGGCAGATTTGGGTGCTGGGAGGGCAGATCTAGGCGCTGGGAGGGCAGATCTGGGCACTGGGAGGGCAATCTTGGGTGCTGGGAGGGCACATATGGGAGCTCGAAGGGCAGATCTAGGCGCTGGGAGGGCAGATATGGGCGCTGGGAGGGCAGATATGGGCGCTGGGAGGGCAGATCTGGGCGCTGGGGGGGCAGATCTGGGCGCTGGGAGGGCAGATCTGAGCGCGAGGAGGGTAGATCTGAGTGCGAGGAGGGCAGATCTGGGCGCTGGAGTTGCAGATCTGGACGTGTGTAGAGGAGTGCCTTGGAGGGCAGCGCCTTGTGGCAGTTTCAATCTAGAAGGCTAAATCTGAGGGATGGGGAGGAGAGGGCGGCCTAAGGACAGAGAGATGAAGGCGTGAGCCATTAACTCATGATACTATGTAAAAAAGATAGAATCGATGATTTGAATAATAAGCCAATAGGCCCTTTAGTACAAACAATAAGCAAGAGAGAGATGAGAGGAGAAGTCGGCCAAGGATAGCGATCGTGGAGGAGGAAGTCGACGTCGGGAGTGCAGGCTGTGTGGCGACCCTGACCACCTCTCCTTCAAGCGCCCAGACCGCAGTGACTCCGACAACGATGACACCAAGGGAGGCCACGGGAGGTCTGGCAGCCGTCGTCCTCGTCGAGGAGGAAACAAGCCGTGCAAGGAGAAGCAGTCGACCAAGTCGACCTCGGCGAAGGACGCCGACTCCTCTGCTGGCGGCAAGGGGCGAGACGACAGGGCGGCGTCGTGCTCGCTGGTCGGCGTCGTGGAGCCGACCGTCTCGCTGGTGCCGGAGGTCGGCGAGGACTTCCAGGCAGTGGCGGCAGCTGTGCAGGCGAACCCTGCCGTGCTCCTGCTCGACAGCGGCTGCTCGCACCACCTGATGGGGATGAAGGAGGCCTTCGTCGACTTGGGGCCGAGCGGCGACGTGAAGCACGTGCGTGGCTTCAATGACGGTGCTAAATCTGCAGGACGTCCAGGGCCGGGAAGCAGGTGCTCATCCCCGACGTGCTGTACGTCTCGGGCGTGCGAGCGAACCTCCTTTCGGCTGGGCAGCTGAAGGAGAACGGTGTGAAACTGCAGGAGGACGACGACGCGACGCTGCTTGTCTCGACGGCGGGAGAGGTTCTCGGTCGGGCGACGTACACCGGACGTGTTCTCTGCACTAACCTGCGTCCCTGCTCGACGAGGTCGAAGTCGCCCACGACGGAGGTCGTGGCTCTGCGGGCGATTGTCTCGGCGACAAAGTCGACGCCGCACAGGATGCATGCGAGGCTTGCGCATGTCAGCATGGACACCATCCGGAGCTCGACTAAGCACGCGGTAGCCACCGGGCTGGACCTCAAGTCGGCGTCTGGCGCCGACTCACTGTTTCGTGCGTTGGTGGGAAGCTGGCACGGCACACCTTCCCCGACCAGGGCTCCGACGCCGACGACGTGCTAGCCGTCGTGCACATCGACTTGTGCAGGCCATTTTTCGTGGGTGCTAAGGACGGCAACCTGTACTTCTTGCTGCTGAAGGACCGCAAGACCCGCTACGTGTGGGTGAGGCCGGTCGCCAAGAAGTCAGATCCGTTGCAGGAGTTCGTGCAGTGGCTGGCGGTGGCTGAGAGGCAGATGAAGAGGTCGGTGTTGATGCTGCGCTCTGACTGGGGAGGGGAGTTCCTTGGGAAGCAGTTCACCGACTTTGTGAACGGCAAGGGCATTGTCCACGACCTGACCCGCCCGTACACTCCGCAGCAAAACGGCATGGCGGAGCGGGAGATGAGGACGGTGGTGGAGTCCGTCCGGACGATGCTGTTGCACATGGACGTGCAGCACCACTGGTGGCACCTCGCTCTACGGCAGGCCGTCTGGGTCCGCAACTGCCTTGAGAGGTCGACGCTGCCACCGGGGACTACACCGTACCAGCTGCTGACCGGGAAGAAGCCCGACTTGTCGATGGCGCGGGTGTGGGGCTGCATGGCGCAGTTCTTGGTCCCCGAGCAGCAGCGTGGTGAGAAGCTGAAGCCAAAGGCCAAGTGGGGCCTGCATCTCGTCGTGTCGGAGGAGAGCAAGGGTTGGGAGCTCCTCGACATCGCCGACAACCGGGTGGTCACCACGTCGGACATGGTATTCTACGAGGACATGTCGCTGGAGGTGTGGAAATCGGAGCACGGGCCGGCGATGGGACGGACGCCCACCACCCCGCCGACTGACACCTCGATGGCGACGCTCCCTTTGCTCGCCGAGGTCGGTGAGCATGCTGCAGAGGACGTCGAGGACGTCCCCTCTTCCTCTTCCTCCCATGTCCCTCCTGTCCCTCCCCTTGTGGCCGATCTGCGTGGGCTGACTCCTGTGTCGGCCTCCGGCGATGAGGGGAGAAGTGGAGCGTCGCCTGTGGCGCCGGTCAAGAGCATCGCCGGTGGCCGACGTGACGAGCCGCAAGTCGACGTGGGAGTGAAGTCGACGTTGATAGGGGAAGAGCAGGCCGAGGAGGTACAGCCGACTTTGGTGAAGTCGGTGAAGAAGCCACCAGAAAGGCAGCAGCCGACAAGGGAGCAGGCAGCGGTGAAGCCGACCGCGGAGCAATCGACCACGGAGCAATCAGCAACCAGACAGTTGGCAGAGGAGCCGACCACAGGGGAGAAGTTGGCAGGTGCGCCGACCGACGTGCAGCAGGACGACGAGGGCAGCGAAGCTAGTGACGATGGAGGGAACGCCGAGAAGTCCACCGACACCGACGTGGTGGAGGTCCCGCCTGGACCTCGGCAGTCAAGCCGAATTCGGAGGCCACCCAACTTCTTTGTCCCCACTGCCTTCACCGCAGTGTAGGACGTGGACGACAATGATCTGCTGTACGACGACGCCGAGGAGGATGAGGAGTTTCCGGAACTCGACCCCATCATGCATGCCAACCCCGAGCACCGTTGGGACATCTCGACGATGACAGTGAAGGAGGCGTTGGCAAGATGGAAGGGCGCGGCGGTGAAGGCCGCCATGGAAGAGGAGATTCGCAGCCTCATCAACATGGGCACGTAGGAGCTACTCGAACGACCGCTAGGAGTGAACATCATGAAGAACCGGCGGGTGCTGACGACAAAGAACCACATCGACGACACCGTCTAGCGCAAGAAGGCAAGCCTGGTTGTGAAGGGCTTCACACAGGTGTACGGCACTGACTACGACAAGACGTTCGCGCCAGTGGGCAGCTACGTCACGCTGAGGATCTTCCTCGGCATTGTCGTCGTCCTCAACCTCAACCTGATGCAGCTCGACATGAAGAACGCCTTCCTGCAGAGCAAGCTTGACCGGGTGTTGTACATGTCCCAGCCAGACTACTTCAACGACGGAACTGGCCGGGTGTGCAAGCTGCTGAAGAGCCTGTACGGGCTGAAGCAATCGCCGCTGCTGTAGTACTTGGCGCTCAACGACGTGCTGGTCGGCGCCGGGTGGAAGAAGAGCCAGGTCGACGAGGCTCTGTACTTCAAGGTCGGCGCGGACGAAGTAGCCGGCTGGGTGCTGGTCTACGTCGACGACCTGCTCGCCGCCAGCAGTATTGCCGAGATGCTGAAGGAGTTGAAGGAGCTGCTGGAGGCCGCCTTCGAGATCTCGCTGGTGCAGAAGTACCTCGGGCTGGAGATCGTGCGCGACAGGTCCGCAAGGAAGCTGTGGCTGCATCAGCAGGGCTACGCCGACAAGCTGCGTAGGCGCTTCATCGACGAGGAGCAGACCGGGCGCACCCTGAAGACGCCGGTCTCGGTCGACGCCAACGTCGAGCTCACCTTTGACGACGAGGAGGCACAGGAGCGACAGGATGTGGAGTATCGGCAGAAGGTCGGCTCGCTGCAGTTTGCGGCGACGATGACGAGGCCGGACATCGCCTTCCCCTGAAGCAAGCTGGGGAGCGGCCTCACGGCAAGGAGCGACCAGCATTGGCGCGAGGTGGACCGCTGCCTCGCCTACGTCGCCAACACGCGTGACACTGCCCTCGAGTTAGGCGGTGGACCAGAGTCGCTGGAGCTGGTCGGCTATGTGGATGACGTCGACGCTGGTGACAAGCAGAGCCGGACGAGCACGGGCGGCTACGTGTTAATCTACGGAGGGGTCGCGGTCTCCTGGTCGAGCCAGCGCATCAAGTGCGCGCCGCTGCCGTCGACCGAGTCAGAGTACGTGGCGGTCACTGAAGTCGGCAAGGAGGGACGCCGCCTTCACTTCCTCCTCGCAGAGTTCCGGCAGCTGGATGTCGGGAAGCCGACTGTCCTTCGGGTGGACAACAAGTCGGCCATCACGGTCGCCAAGGGCATGGGGTTGACGGGCAACCTCAAGCACATGGAGCAGCGACAAGCCTGGCTGCTGTACATGGTGAAGCGCGGGAAATTTTTGCTGAAGTACATCCCGACCGCTGAGCAGCCGGCCGACTTCCTGACGAAGGCGCTGCACTATCTGGCCTTCAACCGGTGCTCCGTCCCGATCGGACAGGTGCCCTTGGCCGACGTGGGGGACGGCGACGACGACGTGTAGCAGTAGGTGCCATGCCCTCTTGCACCATGCCCTCTTGCATGGCTGGTGCGGTGGACGACGTGCTGTGTGTTGGGTGCACGTCGAGGGGCTATTCTCCGAGTGGTAATGCCGTGGGGACTGGAGGCCCAAGTGTGAACGCGGCAGGGGAGTGTCAACGGTAGTTGTGTTAGGCCCCGTCCTCGCTTGGGTGGAGCCGACTTCGTGGTTGGGTGTAAGGGGAGCAACCGACCTGCAGTAGTGGGCGAAATGGTCGACGAGGAGGTCGACCTGCACAAGGGCCACTGCAACGGGCGCCGACTTCGGAGGGCGCCGACTGTGGGGTGGTCGACGTGGTGGTCGACCTGACCTGGTGGTCGACGAAGGAGGTGCCGACGTCGACCTCGACAGGGGAGACTGGGGACGTCGAGCTGGAGGACGTCGAGGAGCGAGACGCCGAGCAGCTGGACATCGAGAAGCAGGGTGCCGATCTTGGGTGGCCGACGACTTGGCGAAGTCGGCGGCCGAGTTTCGATGTGGTCGACAAGAGGACGCCGACCAGGGAGGACGCCGACCTGACGGCATCGACCTGGTTGCCCGGTCGACCGGGATACCTGGGCGACGTGTGCGACGGGTGGCTTCTGCGAGGCCGACCTCGGAGGTGGTATCCCGAGGTCGACGTGGCTGGTGGGCGCAGTCGCTGACGTGAAGTCTGCCAGCCGTTTGCGTTGTGCTCGTGACGAGGAGTTGTGCATCAACCAGCTGCGCACACCTGCGAATTAGGTGCACCGTTGTCCTGCGAGTGCAACAATGGGCAGCCGACTTGCTGCAGCGTTGGCAC